TTGGCCCTGGGAAGCTGGAAGCCGCGCCCGCGCGCGCCCCCTCTGCCTCTCCCACCGTCTTCCGAGCGCACTCTGGGGCTGGGGGGGGGGGGGGGTCGCCCGTGCGCCCGAGTCGAATGCGCTGCGGACCGGGCGGCTCCAGTGCAGGCACCGAGTGCATCCGAGCTCCTCCTGCTCACCGAGACTAAGCCGCTAAGGACGCGGGAGGGGAGCTGCCCTTCGCATCCGCCTCAGTCCTGGGGCGGACGGAGGGCACTGGCCCCGGAGTCAACTGTGTGACCTCGGGCGGGCCACAACCCCTCTCTGGGAACGGACCCGCCTTCTAAGGCTCCGACTCCCCCCCCCCCCGCCCCTTTTGCAGTACTGGAGATTGAACCCAGCGACTTCCCCCTGTGATACAACTCCAGCCCTTTTTATTTTTAGTTTTGAGACAGGGTCTTGCTAAGTGTCCATTTTTCGCAGGCTGGGCTCCAACTCAGAACCCTCCTGCCTCAGCCTCCCAGGATGCTGGGATTACAGGTGTGCACACCACGCGCAGCTTCAGTATTACGAAGATGAGGTTGCCTTTGGGCCTTGTCCCCACCGCACGGGACGCCCACCCTCCCTCCCCTCGCGAGTCCCAGCGGGACCTGTACCCGCACTGCTCCCGGCCCCATTTTCGGGGGGCCCCTTCGGCGCCTGCCACAGCACCCAGAGGTTTGGATTTTTTTAGAAAGTCCCGATAGTGTCTCTCACCTGCCGGCTCCGGACCCTGAGGCCCTGACCCCCGTGACCTCCGTGGTGCCCCGAAGCCACCTCGGGGTCTCACCCCGCAGGCGGGGAAGGCGCCCACCCCGCCCGAGGCCCGGACGCCAGGGGCCGCGGACCCGCGTGGGCTCAGCCGCCACCTGGTGGGCAGGCTGGGTACTGCAGCGCGCCCGGGGGTCCCAGCAGCCCAGATGGTGTCGCTGGTGTCGCTGTGCCAGGCCGGTGCCAGGGGCCCCAGACACTGTCCCTGCGTAGGTTTCCGTGTACATCCCCGGCTCTGGTCAGAACCCTGCGGCGTCCCTCGTCTGAACCCCGTGCTCCCCTGCTCCCCTCACCCCCCTGTGCCTCTGTGGTCTGCTTCTGTCCCCTCGCGCTCACTCGCTCACTCATCCTCAGTTATGGCCTCGCCCCCTCCTGCCCCAGGGCCTTTTTGCTCACTGGTCCAGTGCCCGGCGTGTTTTTCCCCCAGAAACCGGCGCAGGTCACCCCGCCTCCCCAGATCAGCACCTGAAGGCCTCCCTTCTGCAAGCCCTGGCCCACTGCCCTGTTGTTACTCGAACCCTCCCCCTTCCGCACTTGACCCTGTTTCCTTCCCTGCTTTTCTTTCCTGTACAGATGTCCCCCCATCAATAAGCCCCGCGGTCGTTTAGAACAGCACTGGGGATGTAGCTCAGTGCCTAGCATGTGCCAGAACCAAGCGCGCCCGCGCACACACACGCATGCAAAGAAAAGTTCTAAGGTCCAGGCCTGCAGTCGCTCTGACCTTCGGTGTGCGCTGAGCGCCTACCCACAGCTGGCCCGGGGCTGGGTAAGTTCACCAGAGGAGTCTGGCCCTGGCTGTGGGTCCCTGTGCCCCCTGGCAGAAAGAATCTGGGCCCCACTCACCCCTCCCTGCCCCTGGGGCTGAGAGCCCAGACCGGAAGCTCTGCTGTTTGTAGCCCTGGATCCTTGGAACTGGGAGGCCTGAGACTGATTCTGTCCCGTCATGAAGTGGCCTCCTGTGCAGACTCCTGCCCAGGCAGCTACTCAGGAGGTTGAGGCAGGAGGACCTGCAGCCATCTGTGCAGCAAGGTGGTAAGCCGCCCATCCCCGGGGGTGTGTAAGCGGAGGGAAAGGGAGATTCCTGACTGCTGGAGGCCACCTCCTATCCACACAGATTCTGTGACAAGCTGCAGAGTCATCTAGAGGAACACAAGCGTCCGGTTTCCTTTTCTGTTGCCCACAACCAGCCTGACTGCTAGGGCTGTGAGCTCCGTGGGCCCGGGTCACGTTCTCAGCTCCCTGCAGCCACCCAGGGTTCTCAACAACAAGAGCTCTGGCCTGTGATCCCAGGACTTGGGAGGCTGAGGCAAGAGAATCACTGCAAACTTGAGGCCACCCTGGGCTACATAGTGAGTTCAAGGCCAGCCTGAACTATATAGCAAGACCCTGTCTCTAAATAAATAAATCCACCAACAATGAGAAGCCCTGTGGGCCACACTGCAGTCACACCCGGGTGTGGACACAGAGCCCCTGGCTCAGACCCTGTGCAGCCTGGCTCCGGACCCATGACTGGCTGCCTGGGAGGACAGTGGCCAGGCCGTGTGGGGCATCGACTGGAAGCCAGCAGAGACTAGGGACCTTGAGGCTTGCTCAGACATCCCGGCTGCCAGGGCCTGGCCACACCATGGGGCCGGGCCGGGTCGACCAGGGAGAGCTGAGCTGTAGCCTCCTGGCTGCAACAAACCTGCTCTCTGTTGCCTCTGCACCATGGAGGCTGAGTCGGCAGGGCCCAAGGTGAAGCCCTTCAAGGGAGTGGCCTCTGCATGCCCTGTCTGTGGGACGCAGGTTAGCATCGATTGCTATGTGGCAGGCACCAGGTGAAGGACTGTATGTGTGTCCGACTCAAAAAAATAGGTTGGCTGCATTGCACACCTGCTGTGGTACCCTGGGCAAGTTATTAACTGCTCTGAGCGTCAGGCACAGGCATTCTGCAAGGTCCCAGGAGAACACCTGCCTGGCCCATGATAGGGGCTGGTATTTATCAGCATCATCTTTGTTGACAGCAGCAGATCTTCTGCTCCTGAAAGTGAATTTATTTATTTTTTTTCCGAGACAGGGTCTCAGTATGTAGCCCAGGCTGGCTTCAGAGTTGTGCCAATCCTCCTGCCTCAGCCTCCTGAGTTCTGGGACCACAGGAGTGCACCACAATGCCCGACAGGAATTTAATTTTAGAAAGCAACAAAAATTCTGCATGGAGCTGATCCTGATGAGTAATGCTGGTGACATGGTTGAGAAATATCGTTTTGGGTCCAAAACAAGGTGTAATTACAGAGCCTGGAGCCTGTTTTTCTTGCATCGTGGGTACCTCCAGAGTAGAAAGCAAGGGACCAGAGATTATCTGAGCTCCTGATGCGAAGCTGATCCCCAGTCAGACCTCTCCGCCCCTGCTCCATTCCTCACCCCCAGTCCCTGACCCCAGCCTGAACCTGTGCACAGCCACAGCCACCGCCTCTGCCCCTTGTCCCAGGCCCCCCTCCAATCCCTCTGTTCCTACCCTGAGCCAGGCTGCACTAATTCCCAGAGGATTAAAGCAAACAGTCGCCTTCCAACAAATCCAAGACGCAACTGTGCTGTCCTCAAGGTCACTAGTGGAGATCCTTAATGTCCCAAAACAAAATGGTTTTTCGTGTATTTTCAGAAGTGACATACTCAAAATTATGGGTTAAAATTAAAAGGTAAAATACTCAGACTGAATAAATGCCCAAAATTCAATCAAATGTAGGCTGAAGATGTAGCACTTGCTTAACATCTCAACATGGCAAAAAAAAAAAAATCTAATGTAAGTGCTTTTCTGAAATTCTAATTCTTGTTGTGAAGGGATTATGGACGTGCACCACCATGCCTGGCCCTGATTAAGATTTTTGGAAAAAACAGAAATGTTTGCAAAATAGCATTCAATGCCCTACTAGTTGCCAATATAAAGGATCATAAACTAGGCACCTATAGTCCCTTCCCATCTACTCAGGAGGCTGAGACAGGAGGATCTCTTGAGCCCAAGACCATTCTGGGCAATTTAGTGAGACCCTGTCTTAAAAATAATAACCAAAAAATTGCTACCTGGCTACCCATGTCCTGGGAGGACCTACATACTCGGAAATGTAATAGTCGCATGAGGTGTTTATACTGCCAAGAGCCGCTGGGCTGCTGTGTGAGCTGTTGAATGCCATGCCGTGTGAGAGCCGTCAGACAGCCGCCCCTCACCGAAGGCTGTGTGAGCCAGGACTCCCAACCCGCACCGCACCGCAGGTGTGAGTGCTACCCTGCTGGCCCGGGGAGTTCCCTACACACACCTGCGATCGCGCTCCATTTATACACTAGGCACAGGACGACATGAGCAGAAACTACAAATGAAACAATGGCCACAATACACTGGAGTAAGAGTTGTCTGAAGCCAGGCACCATGGCGCATGCCTGTAATCTCTGCATTCTAGGAGGCTGAGGCAGGAGGATCACCACTCACAGCCCAGCCTGGGCAACTTAATGACATAGCAGACCCTGTCTCAAAATGAAAAATAAAAAGGGCTGGGATGTAGCCCAGTGTGAAGGCCCTGGGTTCCATCCCAGTACCAAAATTCTTGTCTTGTTCTCAGAGAGGACACGGTGGGCATGAGAGGAGAGGAGACAGAAGCCGGGTGAGGGCATGGGCACTGACTCTGTGAGGTCCCCAGGCAGGGTCAGCTGTGTGCTCTCTCTGGCACCGGGGTTCAGCTCAGGGCCTTCACACTGAGCTACATCCCCAGCTTTTTTATACTTAGCCTCCTGCTAAGTTGCTAAATTGTCCAGATTGGGCTCAAACTTGCTACCCTCCTGCCTCAGCCTCCTGGAGTGCTGGGCTCACAGGCCTTCGTGCCACAACACCTGGCTCCAGTTATTTTTTTAATGAGAAATTAAGACAAACAGGACCCAGGCTGGTGTTTCCTCCACTGACCACAGCCAGGTTCCCAGGGGCCCCCAGACCCAAAGCTCCTCGGGCGGGGAGCCCTGGCACACCGCCCTGGGGCTGCTGGCGTCCTGACTCGGCCTCCCGTCCCCTGGGGAGGGGGGTCGCGGCGGGAGCCCCGCCCCCAGGGCCGCCACCCAGCCGTGCTGAGCTGAGCTGGGCGAGGCTGAGCCCCGATTAGCGGGTGGGGAGTGAGGCTCGGGTACTGCGGGGCAGGTCGGGCACTGCGCCATGCCGCTGCAGGACGAGACGCTTCGGGAGGTGTGGGCCTCGGACAGGTCGGGGGGCGCTCGGGCCGGTGGCGCGGGGTCGGGCCAGGGTTGGGGCGGGGCGGGCGGGGAGACAGCCTGATCCCCCTGCTCCCCGCAGCGGGCACGAGGACGGCGGCCCGAGCCCCGCGGCCCCGCGCCGCCCCAAGCAGGTAGGGCCCCGCCCAGGGGCGCGGAGAGGTCCCGGCTCGGGTGGGAGGCTGAGGCGGGCAGGCCTCCGTCCGCGCCCCCGAGGAACCCAGTTCTTGCCTGGAGGTGTTTTGGGGGTGCGGGAGAGGCCTCGGCCCTCGGGATAATCCGCGGCTATTTCTGGCGGCTCGGGATTAGAGGGCCCCACGGCCCCGGGGCGTCCTCCCTCCCCCCTGTCCCCCACAGAAGCCGAGCAGGAGGAAGACGGAGACGCCCGGCCCCGCCGAGCCCCACGCCGTCTACACCAGGTTCCTCAGGGACCCCGCGGCCAAGAAGCGCGACCCCCGCGACACCTTCCTGGCGGCCCGGGCCGCGCACGGTGAGAGCGGGCGGGGACCCGAGAAGGAGCGCAGACGGCCCTGTGCTCCCGCAGTCCAGATGGGGGAGCTGAGGCCGGGGCTTCTGCCCTAAGCTACAGCTAGGAGTCCGAGGCAGCCCACGCGGTCCGCTCTGGCCGGGGACGGAGAGGGGGACGAGGACGGGGAGCGGAGGGGCGGGAAGGGGGGAAGGGGCCCGGGAGACTGCACCGGAGGGGCGGGGTCGGGGTCTGAAGATGGGCGGGGCCTGCAGGTGGGCGGGGCCTGCAGGCAGGTTGGTCTCCGGGACTGGATGCTGCCGGCCCCGCCCGCCTCCTGGCCTGCAGACCCCGAGGACTTTGAGGTCACCCACCTACCTTCCTGCCTTTTTCCCAGAGGGCGGGCTTCTGCCTCTGGTGCCTCTGGGTCGACCCCCCACTGAGAGGAGGTTCTATTTGCAGAGGAGGAGGAGGAGGAGGAAGACGAGGAAGCGGACGAGGAAAAGAAAGAGGAAAGCCCCGTGCCCGCCAGGAAGCCCCCGAAGGACAAGGCTTCCGGGGACAAGAGGGGCAGGAGGGCCAAGGCCCAGGCCCCCAGGGGTGGGTGCTGGGGCCGGAGGAGCTCAGCCCGCGGTGGGGTGCCCCAGGCCTGGGGTCTCAGCACCGGCCCTAGCACCTGGCCCCGACCGGACCCAGGCCTCTCCCTCCGGGCCCCCACCCCGTGGTCCGCCCTGCCCAGGGTGCTCTTGGAGCCAGGGAAGGCGGAGGACTTTTGTGATTTTTGGTTTCTTACCTCAATGTGAATTCGCGTTACAATTTTTATAAGATGTCAAAGTGATTCCGTGATTAACAGCTGTACTGGCTGCCAGCCAGTGTGGGGGTCTGTGTCCCCACACCTAGAACCTGGGGTCTCTGGGAAGGAGAGAGCAGGGGTGGTCAGGGGGGCTTGCAGGAGGAGAGGGTGGGCCGGCAAGATTCCTGGGCTCAGGCAGAAGCCCTGGTCATTCATTCATTCACTAGTTGCTTGGGCCGGGGATTTAGCTCAGTGGTTCCGCCGCCTGCCTCGCAAGGGGAAGGACCCGAGTTCAATCCCCGGTACCAAAATAAATAAATAAAAATAACTAGTTGCTTGTTAAGCTCCTAGCTTTTGTCTGGCACTTTTGGGGGGAGGGTACTGAGGATTGAGCCCAAGTCCTTTACACTGAGCTACATCGTCAGCCCTTTTTTTGTTTTTATTTTTTGAGGTAGAGTCTTGCTAAACTGCTAAATTGACCAGGCTGGGCTTGCAATCCTCCTGCCTCGGCCTCCTGGAGTGCTGGGATTATAGACATGTGCCAGGCTTGCCCAGCACTTTGGGGTTCACAGGGAAGAAACACAGACAAGCAGGAAGCAGGCTGGGGGCCCCAAAGGCCTCCCTGGGGACCGGAGGAAGGACAAGGGTTATAAAGTCCCATGCAGACCCAGGCAGCCCCTTCTTGTGCCCAACTCCCATTTCCAGGGAACCTGGGGAGCCCCAAGCCTCCTCAGAGGCCTCTTCGCATTAAGAAGAAGGAAGCTGGGGATGGGACTAAGATGAAAAAGACCAAGAAGAAAGGTAAGCCCACCCCAGGAGGAGGGGCACTCAGCTGTGCTGGGGGTCGTGACCCTTTTGTATCTGATCACTCGCTCGCTCGCTCCTGCAGGGGCTTCAGAGGCCGACAGGGAGCCCGCAGGGAGCCCGGCTGCCATGTTCCTGGTCAGGGAAGGGAGCCCTGCTCAGAAGGCTGCGAAGAAAGGTGGGCAATGGGGCCTTGGGCGTTGGGGTCTTTCGAGAGCCCAGGGGTGGGAGTTGGGAACCTTTGTAACAGGTGGCTCAGTGCAAGGTGAGAAGCAGGTTCAAGAGTCCGGAAATGTGGAGGGTGGGTCAGCCAGGCATGGCGGCACACGCCTGCAGTCCCAGCATTGGCAAGGCTGAGGCAGGAGGATCCCCATGAGTTGGAGGCCAGCCTGGGCTACATTGGTGAGACCCTGTCTTTAAAAAAGAAAGAAAATGTGGGGTCATCCTGACTCCTGTGTGGCCCCAGGCAGATGTCTCAGCCTTTCTGAGGCGGCTCTGAGCACATGGGCGTGCCCTCCTGTATTATGGGGGGTCCAAGTGGGTCTCAGGCAGGCTGCTAAGAAGAAGGAGCTGACAGCCTTTGTCCTCATGCCAGGCCCACCCAAAGCCCCAGAGGAGCAGCCCACGGAGGAGGAGGAGCAGGAGGAGGAGGGGTCAGCTGTGGTGACCAGGAACAGCAATCAGAAGGGTAGAGCGAAAGGAAAAGGCAAAAAGGTCGGCCAGGTCCCAGACTCGGGACTCAAATGTGGGGCCGCAAGGGTTGGGCACTGGGGTCACTTTGCCCAAATCTGTTACACGGGGACAGAGGGCGCCGGGTTTGTGAGAACAGAAGGGACAAGGGGTGACTGGTGAGGAGCGGCCTTTCCCGGTATCAGAGGCCACCATCCTGCGTACTGCCTGTCAGCCCTGCCCCTCCTAAGAGAGACCCATTTACGGGGCAGGGAGGTGGCCACACAGGCAGGGGTGCCTCTGTCCAGGTTTGAGGGGCCCCAAGTCACAGAATCAGGGGGCTGTATTGCCACCCAGCTGCTCTGAGCTCCCCGCCTAGGACCTCCTGGCCTCCCAGCATTAAACAGGGTTAACCTCTGGCTGCCACAGGCCTCCAGGGTCCCCTGCAAGCTGGTCCTTTGTGGGTGACCATTCTCCATGAGCAGAGGAAGTTGCTGAATATTTTGAATATCACCTTTGCCCAAAACAAGACTCAGGCACCAACACACACAAGCTGGTATAAGCAGGACAAGTGTCCACCAGTGGAGATTATCACAAGGGCAGGGCTCTGATCTTAGCTTTGCACGTTCATTAGTTTGTGCAGGAGTGATCAGGTCTTTGGGAACCGACTCCCATTAACCAAGCTCACTGGTTGCTCATGTATAAACTGAAAGGCCAGTTTGTTACTTCCCAGGGGGACTATAATTGCAGGCAAACCTTCATTACAGTGGGTCCTTGAGATTCACCTCTGTGGAAGTGTTTGAATAAGCTGTGGCTTGCTCTACATCACATTCCAAACATAGTCTTGTGTTTCCCAAGTTTCTTCTGGGGCAGGCTGGAGTGGAGGCTGGATGGTCACTTGCCTCTGGCGAAGGGCCTGCGGCCTACCTCACCACCCACGTGGTGCAGTCTGCCCTCAGCAAAGCACTGCACCCCAGGGCTCCTCAGTGCTCCCCAAGAACATTTAACCCTTCAGTGGCCACCCTTCCTTCTGCGAGGGACAGAACTGGAGGACAAAGTCAGGGCCTGTGAGAACAGGGGCATCCCTGTGGGGTCACCAGGCCATCCTAGGGCCTTGGAATTCACATGCATCGCTGCTACCACATCGCCCCAAGAGTCTGCAAAACACACATTTATTGACTCAGTTTCCCAGTCTGAACTGCAAGGTGACTTAGCAGGGTGGGCCAGGTAGAAATGGGAGCCTCTCCACCCCCCACTCCACTGCTGGGGGAGGACCCAGTGGAGAGGCCAGGCCAAGCCGCAGCTGCTTTTATGACCGGCCTGGGAAGCTAGAGACCAGCGCCATGCACTGGGGGGTGGGGGACCCTACGGGGCTAAATGCCTGGAGCCGGGTCCCTGGGGCCACCCAGGAGGCTGCTGTGATGGCCGCCAAGTCCTCCCCACGTGCTGTGCTGCTGTCACAGAGCAGCTGACACTGGGACACATTTACCCCGTGCAAAGAACACGGCAGCCCCTGGTCACCCCAGAACCGTGACCTTCCACGGGAGGGAAGGTTTCCTAAAGGCTCTGAGCAGAGCAGGGGACCGGCAGAACTCAAAGCCCCCCCCCCCCCCCCCCGGCTTTATGAGCCCTGCAAGTCACTGCACTTCTGCTAAGACTTTAATTCGTTATCTGTACAATGGGAACAGCTGTCCCTGCAGATTAATGTGGGAGTTGAAGGAGCTAATATTTAAAAAGCACTTAGAACACATTGGTGGAGTTTATGAGTTTTTTATTTATTTTTTTGAGATAGGGCCTTGTTATGTAGTTCAGGGTGGTCTTGAACTCACTATGGAGCCCAGGCTGACCTCGAACGCATGGGCATCCTCCTGGATCACAGGCATGTGCTACCACAGCCAGCATATGAGGATTTTTAAATGTGTAAATGAAGTCAGGCCTGTCCCGGAGATCCACCCACAAAGACCCACTTCTCATATGAACAGAGTTGGTGGTTAAAACTTCACAAAGACGCTTTTGAGGGCCCTAGGTGTGGTGACTGGGCACTCACGAGCCCCCCTCAACCTTGTCACGAGGCTGGCACGTTGACCTAGCTGGTGTGAGAAAAGAGAGACTAACGCATAGCAGACATGATGGACCAGCTGGGCGGGCACGGGATTTGAACCCAGAGCCTGAGCTCTTGGCCAGAAGGGGAGCAAACTGACAGTGAAACACCACGGGGCGGGCTGCTGGGGTGCGGGCCAAAGGTGTCCCAGCCGCTCCTCTTCCCTGCACAGAAAGTGGTGAGTGTCGGGCCCTCGCGCGACCCGGGGCCCGCCGAGGGGGGCAGCCGGCCTCTGACACCCCCTTGCCTCGCCGAAGGAGGAGAGGCCCGCGTCCCCGCCCGTGGAGGTGGACGATCTCCGCGAGTTCGTGCTGCGCCCCGCGCCCCAGGGCCGCACGGTGCGCTGCCGCCTGACTCGAGACAAGAAGGGCATGGACAGGGGCCTGTACCCCTCCTACTTCCTGCACCTGGACGCAGAGCGGAAGGTGGGCCCGCCCCGCCTCCGGTCACTCCGCCCACCCGAGGCCCCGCCCCGCGCACCCCCTGACGCCCCCTCCCCTCCAGCTCTTCCTCCTGGCGGGCCGGAAGCGCAAGCGCAGCAAGACTGCCAATTACCTGATCTCCAGCGACCCCACCAACCTGTCCCGCGGCGGGGACAACTTCATCGGGAAGCTGAGGTGGGGCGGGGTAGTCCCCCCTGTCCTCTGCGGGGTCAGCGCTTTCCTGATGGGTCCCACGCAAAATGCGGGTCCGGGGCGGGGGGGGGGCTCCTTTTATTTGCGATGCACCAGGCGTTGTTCTAAGCAATTTACAACTGTTAATCCACCCTGTCAATCCTTTTACCAATCAAATTTTGCAAAGGGAAAGTTGAAGTTCAGAGAGTTTAAGTAACTTCCCTAAGGTCACACAGGAAGAGATGGAACTGAGATTTGAATGCTACCCAATGTCCTTGTAGATTGAGCTTTTTTTCTTTTCTTTTTTGGTACCGGGGATCAAACTCGAGACCTTGCGCTTGCCAGGCAGGCGGTAGAACCACTGAGCTAAATCCCCGGCCCTGTAGATTGAGCTTTTAGAAAACACCTCCAAAAAGAAAAAAGAAAACACCTCCAATGCCAGGTGCAGTAGCGCACGCCTGTAATCCCAGCCCTCGGTAGGCTAAGCAGTGAAATAAAATCAAAAAGATCTTTCCGGAGGGGAAGCCAGGGCAGGGACAGGAACCACTTGGAGGCCCCTGCTCCCGCCCCGTGCCCGCGCCAGCCCTGCCCTGCTACCCAGGTCCAACCTCCTGGGGAACCGCTTCACCGTCTTCGACGCCGGGCAGAACCCGCAGCGCGGCTCGGGCGGCGACGTGGGCGACCTGCGGCAGGAGCTGGCGGCTGTGGTCTATGTGAGCCCCCCCCCCGGACCCCCGCCCTGGCCGCTCCCGCCCGGACGGCGGCCCGGCCGGCCTGACCCCATCTCCCGCAGGAAACCAACGTGCTGGGCTTCCGCGGGCCGCGGCGCATGACCGTCCTCATCCCGGGCATGAACTCTGAGCACCAGCGGGTCCCCATCCGGCCGCGGAACGTGAGCCCGCCCCCCCTCGGCTCCCCGTGACGATCCAGGGGCCCAGAGGGCGGGCACTCAGTTTACCCAGCGCCCTCCCTCAGCAGAGCCCGGACGGCGAGAAGGGCAAACTCGGGGAACCCTGTGACCCGCATTGCCCAGCCCCGGCACCAGGGCCCGAGGTCCCGGCTTCCAGTGGCAGGAGGGACGGACAGAAATCGGTGGGGGGCTGCACAGAGAAGGGCCCGGCGCTATGGGCAGGCGTCAGGCAGGAGAGGAGGACAATCGCGTTTGGGCATTACAGGCCGCAGTGGAGAGGGCCTCGCGGACCAAGGGCTGGATGGAGCGCCCAGGTTCGGGCAGGCGCCTGCGGGGAGAGGGGGCCGTGCAAAGGCCCTGGGGCCCCCGAGCGCCTGCTGGGTGCAGAGCGGCAGGAAGAGGCAGCCTGCACCCTCCAGGGCCATGAGGTCAGAGGTGAAGGCGAGGGGCACCAGAAGCCGGTGGGACTGGTTTTTGCGGCAAAGAAATGGAAAGGCAAAGCAGGGTTCTGAGCCAGGAGACTTCTTTTTTAAAGCAAAGGTTGTTTTGCGGGTGTGTCGCAGAATCGTACCGGGCTCTGCTCCTCAGCCCAGCAGGCCACATGTGCTCAGGATGGTGACGGGCACATCCCGTTCACACAGGAGGCTGATGTCACCCGACTCATTTACCATGAAAAGTAACACTGCCGGCAGCTGACGCCGCTGCGTCCCTGCTGGACAGTCACGTCCGCCACGCCGGCCTCGGGAGGCTCCGGAGGCACGCTCTGGGGTTTGCTCCACCTGCGGGTCCCACAGCTCCCCTCTCCCTGCCTGGAGGAAACACCATCCTCGTCTGTCTGGCCACAGCTCCACCACTGTGCGAGGCCCCACCCCTTTTTTTCTGCTTTGGAGACAGGGTCTTGCTACATAGCTGAGGCTGGCCTTGAACTTGCAATGATCCTCCTGCCTCAGCCTCCCAGGTGCTGGGATCACAGGCATGCGCCACCATGCCTGGCCTGGCGTGTACCATTACTTCCTAAACGTGCTCTGGGCCAGGTCCTGAGATCCAAACTCCACACAGCAGCTGTCATTTATTTACCCAGCACCTAGTCCAGACCAGGAATCACTCTCAGTACCATCCCCAGTGCTAGTAACCAAGTCCTCTCAATAGCTCCATAGCAGGGAAACTGAGACACTGTCTGCACACGGTGGGTGGCTGGGGGAACAGGCACCAGGCGAGTTTGGAGATGGGCTGTCTGCTTCAGATTCGGGGCTGGAAAGGCTTCCTGGAGGAAGGGGCCTTGAGTGACAGACTCCAAGCCATGGACACAAACACGAGACAAGGGAAAAGAAACACCTCTTAGCACTGTCTTGTCCTCACGGCACCCCCTCCGAGGGCACCCCAGCCTCGGTCACCTGTCTGTCCCCTGAGCTCAACTCTGGGCTCTGCTGGCTCCCGGACTGTGCTTAGTCCCTGCATTGGGGCTGGCAGGTGGCACAATGGCCTGAGGACCTACTGTGTGCCTGGGGCCCCCTCCCATTTCTGGTCGCCCTCTCACCTTGGGCGCTGCTGTCGGGGCTGCACAGGGCTCCTGTCCTGGCCACCCCAACCGCCCTCTCCCCCGGCCCAGGCCAGCGATGGGCTGCTGGTGCGGTGGCAGAACAAGACGCTGGAGAGCCTCATTGAGCTGCACAACAAGCCGCCTGTGTGGAACGAGGGCAGCGGCTCCTACACCCTCAACTTCCAGGGCCGCGTCACCCAGGCCTCGGTCAAGAACTTCCAGATCGTGCACGCTGATGACCGTGAGTCTGAGGACCTGGCACGGGACACACCACACGGGCGGGCGTCTCAGGCTCCTGGGGCCGCATCTGCCCGAGCCCAGGAGTAGAGGGGGCATTCGGGGTGAAAGTGTGTCGGAGGGAGGGCTCTGCTGCCAGCAGCCCCCACTAAGCCCCTGCGTGGTCAGAGGGTGCTGAGCCCCAGAGAGGACGCCCTTTGTACGGCCCCCTGCTCCTCCAGGAAGTGACACTTCTCAAAACTTATTCCACAGGGCCGGGGATTTAGCTCAGTGGTTCCGCCACCTGCCTTGCAAGCGCAAGGACCCGAGTTCGATCCCTGGTACCAAAAAAAACCTTATTCCACAAAATGGACCCAGTGCTTTCTATGTGGCAGGCACCATTTGGGGGTTTTACAGATGACTCAGAAACCCTATGACCAAGGTACTGTCGTTATTTGGCAGATGAGGAAACAGGTGGCACAGGGAGGTTAAGTAACATGCCCAAGGTCACTCAGCTGCTAAGAGGTAGCTCCTGGATCAGACCCCCACCATCTGGCTCCACATTTCTAACCTCTTCAGAGCAGGGAATATTAACCAAGCATTTCTGAGTGCTTACCCTGGAACCTGGACCGCAATTAAGTGAAAACATCCCTGTTCCAAGCCCTGGGGACAGGCTCCTAGTAGGCTGAGGAAGTTTGGGGTAGAAAGGTATCTCCCAGAGGACTATGGCTCTGCGAGCAACCCCCCCCCCCCGTGTTCCGGGGATGTTCCCCCATCACCTGTCCCCTGGCCTTGGGACTGCTCTTCGGATCACATTTCTGATGGAGCCGCCAGGCCGACTTGGGGAGTATTTTTAGCAACTTCCTGTCCCTATGGATGCTGGGGGAGGTGTTGGGATTGGGGCTGGGGATTGGGATCAGAATGGGAGAGGGCTCGGGGGCCACCAACTAAGGAAGGGGCTGCGTCTGGGGTCCGCCGTGGGTCCCGTCACTGGGGGAGGGCGAAGGAAGGGGCCAGAGGAGCCCCGAGCCGCTGGGCAGGAAGGGTTCGGCCTGGGGACGCTGACAGCGTCCTGCAGGAGAGAGTGAGTGCCTGCGGGAGCAGCTCCTGGCGGGGCCGATAAGACGGGCCCCTGCCCCGGGGGCTCACAGCGACAGGCCGGGAAGTGCGGGTGGGCCGGCCTGGCCGGTAGGAAGAGGGGCTTCCCCGGGGTGAGGGCAAGGCTGCCTGGACGGTGGTCGAAGGAGGCGGGGGGCCCCCGCTCCTCTTGTGTCCGCAGCCGACTACATCGTGCTGCAGTTCGGCCGCGTGGCGGAGGACGCCTTCACCCTCGACTACCGGTACCCGCTGTGCGCCCTGCAGGCCTTCGCCATCGCCCTCTCCAGTTTCGACGGGAAGCTGGCCTGCGAGTGACCCGCAGCGCCCGGCGGCCCGGGGTCGGCAGGAGGAGGCGGGGCCTCATAGCCGAGCGCCGGCAGCCTGGCACTGCCGAGGCGGGAGGAGCTCGCCGGGCGCGATGGAGACGGACAGCTTCTGGGGCTGGAGCCGCACATCTGGCCGCGGAGCCCGCGTGCCCGCCCCCTCCCCCGCGCGCCCCGGCCACTTCCTGTCCTCAGCGGAGTCAGGGTCGCTCCTACCCGCGTGGGGCCGCGCGGGGGCTCGCGGCAGGAGGGGTAGGTGGCGGGGACGCGCAGGTACCCATGGCCTCAATAAAGCCGCGTCCCAGGCAGCGCAGCGGTGGTTCCTCAGCGGGCGCGGAGCCGGGACCGCAGGGTCCCCCGAGATGGGGGTCCCCGGAGAGTGCTGCGCCGGCCGCGTCCCCTCACCCCCGTCGCGGGTGGGTCCTACCGAAACGGCGGCGCGGCGGCGCCACGCCCCCCGCTGGGCCCCGGGGAGCCAGCCGAGAGGGCGGGCCCGGAGTCCAGGAAGAGGGAGAAACCCGAGAAACAGCGCTCAGGAGAACCAGACTAACCGGGTTCGGGCAGGGCGCGCGCGCGGGCAGCCACCAGGGCGGGGCGGGCGCGGGGCGGGCGCGGCGCGGGGCTCCCTCGGGGGCTCGAGACCAGGCCGGGGTGGGGAGCCCCGAGGCCCGTGTGCCCGGGCTCTGCCGAGAGTGCCTTGTGACGCGGCACCCGAGGCCCCTAGCACGGACGAGAGCCCCGCCTCCCCGGGCGGGGACTCCGCCTTCGGCCCCACCCCCGGGCCGGAGCCCCAAATTCCAGCAGGGGACGGGCTAGGGGACGAGGCCAGTGCGCAGGAGGTCGTGAGCCCCGCGGAGAGAGGCCGGAGCGGCCCGGGTCCCCGGGTCTCGGGCGGCAGCGCGCGCGCCGGCGGGGGGCGGTCCCTCGAGGCCCCGCCTCGGACAGACCCCGCCCCCGACCCGGCCCCCGGCCCCCACCCCTCTCCCGGGCTCTCAACACAAACTTTCCGTCTCGCTCCCTCCTCCGCGCTCGGGCTCCCGCTCCGCCTGGCTCATTCCGCGCATTCCCGGCGGCCCCCTCCCCACGACCTCCCTTCCCGGCCCCTCCGGCTCCCTCCGGCCGCGCGGAGCAGCCGGGCCGGAGCGTCCCCCCGAGCTCGGACCAGGTAAGCCCGGCGGCCGCCAGGAGGAGGCCCCGCCGCGGGAGAGGCGGTGGTTGGTTGGCTCGGGATCGCGGGGACACTCGAGGGGGGCAGGGTCCCGAGCCATTGTCCAGCCCCGAACCGGAGCCCCAGATCTGGGTGCCGGGAAGTTCAGCGGAGGGGGAGAAACCTCTCCGGGAAGCCCCGCCCACCCCGGGCGCCGGGACGCGTCGGGCGGGCGGCGGGAGCCGCGGCCGCGTTCCCTGCGCGCCGCCAGCCGCTGCAGCCTGGGCCCCGCCGCGAGCCGGGACTCGCCTCTGGGTCGCCCGGTCCCCGGCCCCGCCGCCCTTTGGACTCCGGAGCCCGAAGGCCGGCTCCGCGCAGGCCTCGGCCCTGCCTCCCGCGCGCTGCGGCTCCGCCGGCCGCTTGTGGACGGCGTCGGGGCGCGGAGCTGCTCCCCACCGAGTGCCCGAGCCCCTCCAGCCCGGCACCTTGTCGGCGGGGTCCGAGAGGGCGCTGGACTGGGGTCCTTGGCCTCGCCTCGGGGGTCTGAGAGCGGCTGGGCACCACCCCTTCCCGCGCCGTCCCAGTCCTGTCTGTGTGCCCTTTACTCCTGCTTGCGGAGGGAGGGCCGGGCGCTGGCCTGGGTCTGTTTTCCAGCCCATCCTGGCCCTGAGGCGGTGTCATCGAGACCCCTCTCTGTCACCTTTCCTGGGAGGGCCCCTGTCCGGGCTCGAGACGCCTCAGGCGAGGGGGAATGAGGCCTTGGGGGAAACTTGCCTCCCTATCTTCCCTCTGGGTAGGGGCAGAACCAGGTCAGGCCTGGACTTGTAGCCCTCTGAGGATGCGGGTGAGGCTGGACACAGCTCAGAGGGGCCGGTGCCCGTGTGGCCCTGTGTATCAGGTCTCCCGGGGCCTGGTTCTGTGTGCATTTGTCCCACCCGGGTGCTGGGGGCTCGGACAGCCTGCGGCCAGAGGGAAACCAGAGCTCCCAGAAGGGTGGGCAGCGGAGGATTAGGCTCCCTCCGGAGCCCTTCCCACGGGGTCCCCCACAGAAGACCTCCGTAGTCTTAGGGCCCTGGGCGCGGGGTGGGGCTGTCCTCCAGGATGCGCTGTGGTGATGGGGACTGAGGAGCCCTGGGTGCCACTCCTCAGAGAGGACCGGGGAGCCAGAGGGAGTCAGCCTCTGGGTATCTCCCGCCCCCCACAGAGGGCGGGTAATTAACGCTCATTAGCACGCTGGGACCGGGAATGGCTAACAGGAGAGAGTCCTTGTCAAGTGAGGGGCCTCAGGGCTTCGCTTTCCTGCTCAGCATAAACGTTTCTCAGGTGCAGGTGCTTTTTCCCCACGCCTTCCCGGGGCCCGGGTCTGCCTTCTCCTGGTACAGAACCTGAACCCTGGCGGGGGGTGGGGTGGGGCTGGAAAGACGCAAGGCCAAAAGGGGTGTTGAGGAGTCGCCACACCAGGTGAGCACGAGGGACAAGGGGCAGGGGGACGTGCTCTTGGAAGGAGGTGGTGGTGGTGACCAAGGGCACGATGGGATGGGAGCCACTTGGTGGCCACCCATCTCCCCCCACGCCCAGAGCCCCTGGGCACCGGTAGAGCGCAGTGTGGAAGCGGGCGGTCCTGCCCACCTCCTTGCTCAGGTCTGTTGAGGTTCGGGGGAGAATGTCCAAGCGGCAGGGAGCTAGGAGCCACAGGGAGCCCTGGCCCTGGGAGGTCCCAGGCTCTGGTCCCCACACACCAGGTGGCCTTGAGGATCCCGGTCTCCACAGACCTCTGGGCAGCCCTGGGGCCCAGCAGCAGCCTCTCTGATTAGACCTGGAGGTCAGCAGGTCACATTTGGCCCTGTCCCCCCTGTGTGCCCGCAGAAGGCCCTGTGAAGGAGGGGAGAGGGAACCACCTGTCCCCTTGAAGGACCCGCGTAGTCCGAGAGAGCTCATTCCCTTGCCGGTCCCCAAAGCCTCACCCTCCGGGTTTCCTAGACTGCTGATTGTTTCCTGCACCCCATGCCAGGCCCAGAGGACAGGAAGTGATGGAGGGAATCAGCGTGCCACAGTGTGTGACCGTGGGTGATGAAACTGGATGTGTGTGAGAGGCTGGAGCGGGACCGTGTGGGTGGATGGCGTGGGAGAGGAGCCCTGGTGTGTGTGACCGCACGCGAGGCTGGACGTGGGCGTGAGAGAAGCTGTCTGTGACTGTGAGGTCCGGTGTGTGAGCCTGATAGGGTGAGTTCAGAAGAGGGCCGGCCATGTGTCTTCCGTGTGTCCTTCTGGGTGTGTTTGTGAGGGACTGCCTGGTGGCATTCCATGTGAGGGCATCACACTGGCCGGGTGCCTGCGGACGACACTGCTTTGTGCGAGGGACCCTGTGATTGTGTGACACTGCCCATATCAGAGGCAGAACGAGTGACATCGTGCAACGCATGGTGCTGTGGTGACAACTCCTGATGTGTGTGTGAAACCGTTTGTGCGGTGGCCTCAAGACTGACTCTGTGTGACACCAGGTGTGAGTGAAACCACAGGACTGTGACAGTGTGACACGCATCAGGGCATGGTGGGCAGGCTGAGCACCCGTGGTGAGGAGCTGTGAGTGCTGTGTGCAGGAGACACGGACCCCGAGAAGGCCTCCCCTAGTTGTGCAGCTGTGTGTGCAAGAAGGGAGCCGTGGGTGTGACAGGCTGGCTGTGTGGGTGGTCACTGCATCAGCACGGGTGGGTGGCATCCACAGGGGCTGTGCCAGGCAGGGCGTGGGACACTGCCACACGTGGCAGGCCTGGGGCCCCGCGCGGGGCATCTGTGTGGATGATCACAAACAACGATAGTGTGAAAAACAGAATGTGCTCAGCTGCACACAGAAAAGTGGTTTGAGTGGCAAATTTTATGTATATCTTACCATAATACAATTAAGAAAAAAACACCAACCAGAAGAAGCCAGGAAAGAGGTGCGGGGTGGTGGCTGTGGCCTTGTGTGGCACAGGGCCGGCCACAGGAGCAGCATAGAGGAAGTGTGTTCATGTGGGGTTTTGTTGTTTTTTGGGTTTTTTTTGGTACCGGGGATCAAACTCGGGACCTTGCGCTTATGAGGCAGGCGGTGGAACCACTGAGCTAAATCCCCGGCCCCAGGAAGTGTGTTCATAGAGGACACTGTGACCCTTTTGGTGGGCAGAGTGGCCGGAGGGGCTGGTGGCAGCGCAGTGGGTGACCAGGGGACCTGGAGGGGGCCTGAGATGGCGCCCATCAACATGCTAAGTAAGAACCGGGGCCCTAGCCTGGCCCCCGCTGGGGACGTGGGAGCCCCTCCCTGGCAGTGGGATGAGAGGCCCAGAGGACCAGACCCTCCGGAGAGGGCCTGACCCCTTCCCTTGCTGCTCTGGGAGGGGCAGCAGCGGGTAAGACTTGGGGAAGAGAGCCTGGGGGGGCAGTCCCGCCCCCCCACAGCTCCCGAGAAAGCCCTCACCCCAGTGGTGCTGAGGGGTGACTCTCTTCCCAAATTGGAAGCACGTGAATGAGCCCAGCGGGATGCGCCCTCTCACCCCCATGGGCTCTGCAAATTGCTTCCTCCTGTGGAAATCTTCATCCTCCTCCCCAGCCTGGCAGGGTGTGGCCCCTTGGCAGGGTCCCCTGGGGTCCTTGGGCTGGAGGTGGGGGAGACAGACACCATCCCCACCCCCTCTCCGAGCCCAGAATGGGCCGACCGGCCGGCCGCTTCCAGGGTAGGAGCCTCTGGCAGCTGGAGAACAGCTGGCGGGTGGCAGGCAGCGGGAGGGAGGCTGGGGGGTGGGGAGGCTGCAGGCCTCCTCTTTCCCCATCCTTCACCCCATGGCTCGGTGCCCAGGGCAGGCCCGGGATGCCCAGGGGACTGTGGGGTTCTCTGTCTTCCTGCCACCTTGAGCAGTACCGCCTCAAAGCCGGAGCACCTGGGCCAGGGTCCCTGCAGGGGTGGGTGGTAGCTGCCTGCAGGGCCTGATAAGGCCCCAGTTCAGCCTTGGCTCCCCATGGGGCTGCAGAGGTGCCGCCTGCCAGGTCACCTTGTCCCATCTATGTCCCCCACTGTGGCAGCTGCTCAGGGGAACCCCACACTTCAGGTTGGTGCCCCATCCCCCTCAAAAGGGAGCTCTGGGGCTGGGTGGTCTGGAGTCTGGGGCCTCTGGGGTCTGGGGGGCCAGGACCTCTGTAGCAGCCCCCAACTCTGGCCTCCATTCCTGGAGCCATCTGGCCAGTTCTGCCAGCAGACCCGGGGGGGGGCAGCGAGGCATCCCGTATCTCCCCAGAGCTCGGCCTGCTCTCCCAGCCTTCCGAGACCCTGACCCTGTCACCACTCAGTGGTACTTCTGACCCCAGAAGGCTGAGGCCTGGGAGCCAGGCTTAGGTGTGCCGGCCGGCCGAGGTGGGACAGGTGAGTGGCAGGCGCCCCGTGCGGCTCCCTCACACCCGGCCCTCCTGGCGGCTCTCTGTCCTCATCCACGTGTCTCCTACTTCTGCTCCTGCCATTCCACTGCCTGTCTCGCCAGCATCCCCTCTGTCCCTTTACCCCTCTGCTGCCTGTGTTGGGGCTCTGCCTCTTTGCTGGTCTCACCCCCCTCCCCTTTGCTGTCTGTCTGTCTGTCTGTCTCCCTCCCTGCCTGCTGTCTGTCCTCACAGCACCTTCTCCATGGCTCCTTCTGTGTCTTGTGGATGGATCGCCGCTGAGTTTGTCTCTCCCGCCTGGGATCCTGTCTGTCTGCTCCCTCTCCCGCCACCCTGTCCCCTCCTGTCTGTCTCAGCCTCTGTCCCTCAGCCCTTCTCTGAGGCTTAGCTCAGGGAGGGGGGCGACAGCCACCAGCGCCATCCAGGTTTCTCACGGGGCCGCTCCCCTCTGTCGTCCTGCCTGGCTCAGGGTTTGGGGGCTGGAGGTTGGGGCGTGGTGCTGTCCCCTCCCCAGGGTGGCAACTGGGAGAGCAGCCGAGCCGCCCCTCCTGAGTCCCGGTGGCCCCCGCAGCTGTGATCGCCACGTGTGAGCCAGGCTTGCAGGGGACGAATGCAGGCCTGCGCTGCCGCTGCCGGGAGGGCTGCGTTTGGGGGGTACCACCTATGGGTCTTGGTGTGGGCCCCCCTGTGCCCAAGGGAGCCCCGGAAAGCCGGTGGTGCGGGTGCCCGGGAGGCAGGGTCCCCACTGGACGACCTCGTGCGCCGGCCCCGCCCCTCCCCCCGACTGCCCTGTCCCGAGGCCGCCCCGCCCCCCAGTCTATCCCGCTCCCGGCACCGCTCTGTTCGCCATATTTGGCCACAGCGCTCCGGCGGGGGGCGGGGCGGGGCTGACATCACCCGGGAGGGGGGGCCGGCCTGTGGAGGGGCTCGGAGGACCTGGGGAGACGAACATTGCTTTAGAGGTCGGGCTGCTGGGGGGCCCCGGTGCTCCGCCCCGTGCTCTGAGGGAGGCTGGGAAAGCAGAGGGTTGAGGGCTGCGTGGGGTGCAGCTCCGGGGAGCCCCTCGTTCTTTCCCTCTGACAGCCCGGTGTGGGGCCAGGCTGAAGCCTGCTGGAAGCCCAGCCATCCCCACTGCTTCCACAGGGCTGCCCCCCAGTGACCCCCATTTCTGCTCCAAGCATGTGCTTGGGGATGGGGTCTGGCCTCTCCGACCCTGGGCATGCAGGTGTCACAGGAAGGGGTGGAAAGCAGTTTGGGTCCTTGAAGTTGCTTCAGCCACTTGGGCTGAGGGAGTCCCCCTGGGCTGAACCCCACGGAGCAGACTCAGGACGTTGTCCCAGCTGAGCCTCCTTTCTCAGCCCAAGTGGTGGGGTTTTCAGCTCCCTCCCTTTGGCCTCCTTGGTCAAGAGACAAGCCAGAGACCTGGGTTCAGAATCAGCTCTAGCACTACGTGCTGTGTGTCCTTGGACAAGTTGTTTGATCCCTGTTCCTTGATGTCCTCATCTATAAAGTAAAATTGGGCCGGGGATTTAGTTCAGTGGTGCCAGAGCCACCTGTCTCGAAAGCACAAGGTCCTGAGTTCAATCCCCAATACCAAAAAAATCCCACAACCTAATAATAGCATCCTTGGGTTTATTGTGAAGATCTTTCTCTCTGTTTCTTTCAAGACAGACTCGCTGTGGAGTTCAGGCTGGCCTTGAATTCATTATGTAGCCAAGGCTGGCTTCAAACTCCAGGCAATCCTCCTGCCTCAGCCTCCTCAGTGCTGAGATTACAGGTGCATGTGATCACGCTTGGCTATGGAGGATTAAATGAATGAATGGGTGAAACCCCACAACCTTCCTGGAATTTGGCAGTATTGTTAGTCGCAGCACTGCCTAACTCTGTACCTGACCCCAGGACCCTGAGGGCCTCACCACCCTGCTCCATTACTGACCCCCTCGGGGCTCCCCAACCAGAGGCTCCTGCTGAGAAGTCCCCCCATCAGAACACCTGGGACTCAGGTCTTCTCTGGCTTCTCTCGGGGTCCCCACCTGTCCACCCAGCCTCCTGTGTTTCCTGCTGCTCATGGCAAAGCCCTGGGCTCCAGGCCTCAGGTGCACTCAGGCCTTCGGGCCTGGGCTGGCCTGCCGGGGGCGTCGCTGGGTGTGGTCTACGCTGCCGGGCCAGCCTGGCAGAGCAGGGTACTCAGTTTACAGAGCCGGCCCTGTGCTGTGTGGGCCACCCCAGGGAGACCAAGGGCGGTTTATGGGCTGCTGTGGGGCCGCTAAAGTTCGGGACAGGAGTGGGATGCCAGCCGCAACCCTTGGAGTTATCTGGAGGGAAGGCAAACCCATCCTGGGCCTGAAGGAGGGGTCCCTGGGTGGAGATCTGGGCCTCGCTGGTGGCTGAGCTGCGGAATCACTGGCCTAGACCTTGTCCTTCTCTGCTCATCTTGGTGATGCTGTCTGACCCTTAGGCCTCAGTTTCCCTCAACCGAGTGGGCATCGCCTTTGGCTTCCCTGCCCCCATCTGGTGAGGCCCAGATGGACCAGGTGCTGCCCAACGCGTGCCATGTACACGCACGGTCTGGGCGTCCTCACTGCTGCTCTTGCGCTCTGCAGCTCTGGTCTGCGTGTTGGAGCGGTCGCTGTGGCTGGGATGGCGTAGTGAGCTCAGTTGAGTTCTCACCCCCACCCCAGGCCCTTAACTCGTCTTGCGGCAGGGTGACCCCAGCAGTGGGGATGAGGTCAGGCAGTGGTGGGTGGTGGGGACCCTGGCCTGACCCCTGCTCTGTCCCCAGGTTCAGGCTGCCCCGTGGGCTCAGGCCCGGAGCCCAGAGCAACCAGCACAATAGCGTCCAACAGCTGGAGCACCAGCGGCAGCCCCGGCGAGGCCCGGGAGGATGGGCCCGAGGGCCTGGACAAAGGGCTGGACAATGACGCGGAGGGCGTGTGGAGCCCGGACATCGAGCAGAGCTTCCAGGAGGCCCTGGCCATCTACCCGCCCTGCGGCCGCCGCAAGATCATCCTGTCGGACGAGGGCAAGATGTACGGTGCGTGAGGCAGGCAGGAGGGAGCCCTCCCTCGGCCACCCCTCGCCCAACCAGTCGGGCCACGTGCTGGCCCAGGGCCAGCGGGGCGAGTCCGGGCGTGCGGGGCTGGCTCGGGCGCCTCACAAACAAGCTGGGCGGCCTGTACCTCTTGCTCGCCCCGCCTGCCCGGCCTGGGCCTGGAGGTTTCGGGGTGACTCAGTGGGCCCAGGAAACTGGGTCAGCTCGGTGCGCTGCAGGCCAGGCCCCCAGAGGGTCTCTGCCCCTGCGGCAGGGGGAGGGATCCCTGGGGCTGAGGCCAGGGGTGCGGCCCCCTCCCGGGTGAGGCTGGGAGGTCACGCTGGGCCTGCGTCAGCAGCACTGGAGGGGCCTGGGGACCTGCCCTCCTGTCCCCAGGACCCTCCCCGGCAGGCTGTGACACTTTGCCCGCCCCCAGGAGGGACGCTCCCCTCCTGTCCAACATGGAGAGGGTGCCCCAGAGCTGCGTCTGGGCATAACTTGGCCTCTCTGGGCCTGCTTCATGCTAGCCTGTGGCCCGAGGCCAGGCTCTGGTGGCCATGGGGGACCGGTAGGGCCTGCCATGCCCGGGTGTCACCTGTCCTCAGCACCGCCCCCACCCCAGCTGCAGGCCGGAGCCCACTGGCCCCCTGCTGCCTCCCACACGGGGGCAGCCCCACTGGGTATTTTTAGACAGGGTGGGGAGGGGGTGGAGAGGGAGGGACAGTGGGGCCCAGCTCTGTCATTGCCAAGGAATTTGGAGAATGTGGCTGTTCTGGGGAGGCCGGGGGTGGGGGGGGCTTAAGGGTGCAGATGTACACCCGACCATGTGTCCCTAACCACCCCCGCAGGCCTGGTCCCCCAGAAGGGCCGTGTGGTGAGCGGGCTCCACTCCTGGGCGGGCTTGGGGGTGGCAGCCAGGGTCAGGGTGACATGCTCGGTGACACAGGCTGGGAGGGTAGGAGACAGTTGGAGGCCGCCGTGTGCCTCTCCGTCCCTCCCTCCTGTCCATCTGTCCTCCTTCACCAGCGAAGGGAAGGCGCTAGTCCAGATCTTGCACAGACCTGCATGGGCACCTGCTGGGCGTCCCCACCCCTTCCAGGTGCCCCAGGAAGGAAGCACTGCGGGGTCTGGGGGCGCCGTCTGGCTGCTGCCCTGTCTGCCCCTGTGTAGCACCCCCAGGCCCTGCAGGCAGTTGGGGAGCAGCTTGGGGAGCTGGGGAGGAGCACGCGGGGCCGGAGTCCTGGGCCTCTGCCGCTCCTCATGTTTTCTTACCTGATCTAGGTCGAAATGAGCTCATCGCCCGCTACATCAAACTGAGGACAGGGAAGACACGGACAAGAAAACAGGTAGGGAGCCAGTGCGTGTGCTTTTGCAGCCCTTGTGCCTTCCTCAGAGCTGCCACCGCCTCCCCAGGGGCCTTCGCAGCAGGGACCCACAGGGCTGCCTGGCCCCTGCCCTGAGTGACTGCTCATAGGAAGGGACGGACAGACAGGCAGAGTACAGAGGGGCGAAGCAGCTGAGATGGGCTGTGTGCAGGGCATTGCCAAGCAGACACGCATCTGACCCAGCTGCAGCATCTGGCTGTGTGACCTTAGACAAGTTGTATAACCTCTTGTTTCAGTTTCGTCATCTATAAGGCAGAGATAATATTTGAACCTACTACTTAAGATTGCTGCAAAGATCAAGTAAAGTAGGCGTGGTAGCACATGGCTGTGATCCCAGCACTCAGAAGGCTGAGGCAGGAGGATTGGCATGAGTTTGAGGCCAGCCTGGGCTGCATAGTGAGATCCTGTCTCAAACAAAACCCAATGAGCTTGTGAAGCCACATATGGAGAACATAGGGTAGAACCTGGGTCCTGGGCATCAGTATCTGGGCATGAAGTCATCAGTAGTGCTGCGGACAGGAGTCCCTGCCTGTGTCCTATGCAAACATGGGAGCCGTCAGCCTGTGATGAAAAAGAAAAAGAGAAACTGTCTTTGGGGTTAAACCCAGCTCACACGGGAAGCCCACAGCACAGCCATGGCCAATCCAGACATCAGGGCCCTTCCTGGTGCCAAAGGTCAGCTGTCAAGGTCAAAGTCAGAGGTCAGCTGTGCCTGATTGGTTTGGGATGCAGGGAGGAGGCTGCTGGGAAAGGCGGCTGCACAAAGCACCTACTGTGTGCTCGTGGGCACCAGTGTGTCCAAGGAGGGCCGTGTAGTATTGGAAGAGGCAGATGTGGGAACAGTGCACGCAGGACTAGGCCAGCTGGAGCCGCAGGGCCACAGTGCCAGTTAGAAAATGGTGTCTCCCTGAGGGCACCAGGGATGAGAAGTCACCCTTCCTCTGTACCAGGGCACATAGCCTGGGCAGCAGAGCTGGGCTGGATTGCAGCTCTCCCTTCTGGGCCAGGTGCCCTTGTGCAGGCAACGACTTACACAACTGCACCTGGTGGTTTTGGAAGCCACCTATACAAGGCCAAGAAGAGGACAGAAATGGTGCCAAGAGGGGGCTACCCCCAGGGGCCCCAGAGTCCCCATTTCCATTTGGTCCCGAGATGAGGGCTGGAATGCCCCTTGGCCCCGGCCGCCATGTGGCTGTGCCTCCTCACTGTTTTCTCCTCTCTGGTGGGGCGTGGGGACCCCTAGGTGTCCAGCCACATACAGGTTCTAGCCCGGAAGAAGGTGCGGGAGTACCAGGTTGGCATCAAGGTAGGTTGGGCGCCTGCCCGGGGCCTGTGGCTCCTCCCTGGGCGCCCCCGCTGCTCTCCGCACAGCTCAAGCCTCTGCTCCGCTGCTCTCCGGCCTGGGCGCCTCTTCTGGCGGGACCTCCGCTTTCCTCTCTGTCTGTTCTTCCTGTTCTTTCTCTCTCTCTGTCTCTCTCTCTCTCCCTCCAGGTCTCTAGCCACTTGCAGGTTCTAGCCAGGCGGAAATCTCGGGAGATTCAGTCCAAGCTGAAGGTAGGGGCGCCCTGTGCCCAGCCGGCCCTGCCCAGCACTCTGTGGGCCCAGGCCCAGGGGTTGCAGAGACGCAGTGTCAGCAGGAATCCCCAGGCGCGCCAGGCTTCCCGGCCCACAGTGGGGACACGAGGACTGTTTAGGATCCCAGAAGAGCCCCGCTTCGCTTTCCTTTGCCTCCTTGCTCCTGCTGCTTGCTGCTTGCATGGGGACATGGGGACAGGAGGAGGCACAAGGTGTCGCCTGCCAAGGCTGTAGAGGTGGCTGTGCCAGTCCTGGGCCATCCGCTCTGCGGCTGAGGATCCCAGTCGGCGTCCCTCCTGCCTGGGGCAGGTCCCTGCTGGCAGGCACCTCTGGGGCGAGTCCCAGGATGAGAGCGGGTGGCCGGGTTCCCCGTGCAGAGCCTGGGGATCTTCTAACCTCTCTCCTCTTCCCCCACAGGCCATGAACCTGGTAAGTATGCTGTCCCCTGGGAGGGGCTGGACGGGTGGCTGTGCATGTGGCTCCCAGTGGCAGAGCGGCTCAGCACGGGCCTGGATTCTGTCCACACACACCCACCCACCCACCTACCCACCTATCCCCCCCACCCCCAGGGTCTGAAAACAGCATTTGTTTTATTTGGGTTTTTTTTTTTTTTTTGGTACGGGGATCCAACTCTGGTCCTTATGCTTGCGCAGCAGGCAGCGAAACCACTGAGCTAAATCCCCAGCCCTAGATTTGGTTGTTCTGAGACAGGGTCTTGCTCTGTGGTTCAGGTTGGCCTTGAACTCACTATGTAGCCCAGGCTATTCCTGAACTTTCAGTGATCCTCCTGCCTCAGCCTCTCGAGTGCTAGGATTACAGGTGTGTGCCACCATGCCCGGCCGAAAACAGTGTTTGTGAACAGTGAGATACATGGATAGCACACGTTTGTGTAGATCCCGTCTGGGTGTTCCTCACACAGGGCTGATTCAGGAGTCTGCAGGGCGCCTAAATGCTTGTCTCCCATGTTCTCTCGAGCGCCACAGCCCACACTTAAACTGGGAGAACCAGAGGGGACAGAAGTCTGAGTCTCCCCACACACTGAGGGAAAAGGTGTTGGTGGGATCACGTGGCCTCTCTGGATCCAGCCAAGCTCTAAAAAAATACTTGAAAAATATTGTGTCTCAACTCAACACCAAGAGGTCATTTTTCCTGTCCTTACTCCCTGCACGGTCTAATATAAAAATGATGTCTGGTTGGTGACACACACTTCTAGTCCCAGCTACTGAGGAGGCTGAGGCAGGAGGGTTGCTTGAACCCAGCAGTTTGGGGCCAGCGTGGGCAGTACAGAGAGACCCCAGTCAAAAACATCCCAAACTCCCCTCTGTGTCCATGGCATCAGGTGTAAGTGATCTCACACAGTCTGAAGTACACAGAGGATGTGTATGGGGGTATGTGTAAATGCACCATTTTAAACCACAAGGGAGCTGGGTGTGGTGGCACACACCTGTCATCCCAGCACTTGGGAAGCTGAGGCAGGAGGATCACCTTGAGTTTGAGGCCAGCATGGGCTACAGAATGAGACCGTCTCAAAAAAACAACAGAAAAATACAAGGGACAGGCACACCCTGGGTTCTGGTGGTCCCCATGGACGGGGTCTCAGGCAGAGTTGAGGACACGGCGGAGCTGGACTCAGAGGGGCCTGAGCTCACACAGCAGAGCTGGGGCGGAGTCCAGACCTGGCCGGGTCTCACTCACCCCGGGTCCCCAGGACCAGGTCTCCAAGGACAAAGCACTCCAGAGCATGGCGTCCATGTCCTCAGCGCAGATCGTGTCCGCCAGCGTCCTGCAGAACAAGTTCAGCCCGCCGTCGCCGCTGCCGCAGGCCGTCTTCTCCGCGTCCTCCAGGGTAGGGGCAGGGCCGGGCGGGGCGGCGGCAGCACGGGCGCGGGTCCTGAGGCCTGGCTTTGTCCCCTCCGCAGTTCTGGAGTAGCCCCCCCCTCCTGGGACAGCAGCCAGGACCCTCTCAGGAGTGAGTACCGGGCGCCCCGCGGGCCGGGCGGTCCCCGGCTCTGGGGCCACGCGGAGAGGCTGCGGGCGGCCGGGCCCTAACTGTGCGCGCCTATCCGTCCGTCCGCAGCATCAAGCCCTTTGCGCAGCCAGCCTACCCCGTGCAGCCGCCCCTGCCACCACCGCTCAGCAGTGAGTTTCCCTTGCCGGCCGGCCAGGCGGGCGGGCGGGCAGGGCGTGGGGGCGCAGGGTGTTGCTCCCAGAACTAGCGGGAAACAGCGCAGCTACGCGCACCCCACCGGGCCGCGGGATTCCCGTGTAGATGGAAAACTCCCCGTGAGACAGACACCAAAGTCTTAGCAGGGCCGTGCTCTCCCTAGGTGGTGGGATTCCGGATAATTGTCATTTTCCCTTTTGTGTTTGCTAACGCACATTAAAGGAACATTTGTCTTGCCGTGGACTACCTGGTCCACCCTGGGTGTGTGGGTTGTGCACTGCACAAGCGCACCAGGCAGGCGAGTCCGAGTCCAGCAGCTCAGAGGCGGCCCCACTGTCCGGTTGGCACGGAGGCTGGGGCGGGCTGGCCGCTCTGGGCGACCGTCCGCGTGGCTCCCTCGCCTCCCAGGTTACGAGCCCCTGGCCCCGCTCCCCCCGCCCGCTGCGCCCACGCCGGCCTGGCAGGACCGCACCATCGCCTCCTCCCGCCTGCGGCTCCTCGAGTACTCGGCCTTCATGGAGGTGCAGCGCGACCCCGACACGGTAGGGCGCCGGGACGCGGGCTGGCGCTGGGGCCCCGCAGCCGCACGGCTCTGCGTGCTGAGCCCCCCGCCCATCCCACAGTATAGCAAACACCTGTTCGTGCACATCGGCCAGACCAGCCCGGGCTTCTCCGACCCACCGCTGGAGGCCGTGGACGTGCGGCAGATCTACGACAAGTTCCCGGAGAAGAAGGGCGGGCTGAAGGAGCTCTACGAGAAGGGGCCGCCCAACGCCTTCTTCCTGGTCAAGTTCTGGGTGAGCCCTGGGGCCAGGCCGGGCCGGGCTGCCCTGCGGAGGGCGGGCGGGCACGGCACCCACAGCCCTGTCCCCCAGGCCGACCTGAACAGCGCCGTCCAGGAGGGGCCCGGGGCCTTCTACGGGGTCAGCTCGCAGTACAGCTCCGCGGACAGCATGACCATCAGCGTGTCCACCAAGGTGTGCTCCTTCAGCAAGCAGGTGGTGGAGAAGGTGGAGGTGAGTGGCCGGGCCGGCGGGTGGGGGGCGGGCGCGGGCGCGGGCCTGACTCCCTGCCCCCGCCAGACCGAGTACGCCCGGCTGGAGAACGGCCGCTTCGTGTACCGCATCCACCGCTCGCCCATGTGCGAGTACATGATCAACTTCATCCACAAGCTCAAGCACCTGCCGGAGAAGTGCCTGATGAACAGCGTGCTGGAGAACTTCACCATCCTGCAGGTGCGGCCGGGCCAGGGGACAGCGGCGCCCGCCCCGCACCCGCGCTCCGCACTCACCACGCCCGCCCGCCCAGGTGGTCACGAACCGCGACTCCCAGGAGACCCTGCTGGTCATCGCCTTCGTCTTCGAGGTCTCCACCAGCGAGCACGGCGCCCAGCACCACGTCTACAAGCTGGTCAAGGACTAGGCGCCTGCCGAGGACACGGGACGCCTGCCGCGAGCTTGCCGGTGCCGCCGGGGCCCAGGCCGAGGACGCGCCCGCCCCACCCCTGCCGCTGTTCTGCGCTTTAGCTGTGGGCCAGGGGGCTCGGCACTGCCCAGCCACCACCTGGCCCCTGGCTGGGGGAGTGCGGTGCGCAGGGGAAGCCGAGGCAGGCGGATCGCAGAGGACCAGAAGGGGCCGAGTGTGGGCCGGCGCAGGTCCGAGGGAGACGAGGCAGGGCCGCCGGGCCCAGGTTACACTACCTCCAGGTGCGGGCGCTGCGCGGGGGGCCTGCTCCACCCACCCGTGGCTCCCCTGGCTGCACCTCCCCACACCTCCTCCTGGGCCGGGCCGGGCACGGGGCCCTGCTGCAGTGCCTGCTCAGCGTCCCAGCCATGCTGGGCCCGGGCCCTGGGTTCCACGAAGTATTGCAGCCTCCCCGCCCGCTTCCTTGCTGCTGCCTCGGATCGGGCCACCGCCACGCCCCACCTAGGTTTTATATTGTCTGATACCTGTTTTTGTGTACTTCTAAAATCCGCAGTGATGGGTTATGTGGCTCTGAGCTGGGGCAGGGTCCCTCAAGACCTGACCCCTGCCCAACTAAGAAATTATTAAAGTTATTTGTTTTAAGTGACACCCTGTGTCAGACTGAATCCAAAGCTCCCTCCGGTGGCACACAGGGCCAGGAAGTTCCTGAAGACCCCCGCTGCCGCGTCCCCACCCCAGGCTGCCCCCAGGTGGGACCGGCAGTGAGCTGTGCGGGAGAAACCAGAACCTGTACTTCGGACTCCGCTTCCAGAGCCCTGCCTTCAGATCCCTGGCCAGCCGGGTGGCCTCCTGCCTTGAGCACCGCAGGAAGAGGGGCCAGGCTGTCGCACAGGAAGGGCCCCGTTAAGACTCCACTGAGAAACCTGTCAGGGCAGGGCCCAGGCCCACAGGAAGCTCTTCACTTTCAGCACTGCCTTTCCAGCCCGAAGACCAAGGACTCGGCACCACACAGCTGGAAGGCAGCGCCTGTCATCTCTCGGGGCCACCGCTGACCCTGCGGACCTCCAGGCTGCTCACTGCCACTCCTCTCTGTCGCCCACAGCTCAGCCGTGGCTAGCTCAGACCTTCTCCGTCCTCACCGGGGAAGGGACACAGCTGGGGTAGGCAGCTCGCATTACTGGACAGGACAAGGAAGCAGCAGGCTCTGACCACCATGCACGCACGCACGTGGTCCCCACCACACGGGCCTGCCTAAGCCATTCGGGAGTCTGTGCAGAAATCCCTCTCATGCTTCGCCAGCATGAAGCTTTGATGCCGACCGTAGTTAGCCTCGCACCTGTGAGGTCACGTGGTGGCTCACCTGGAGTCCAGCCAGGGGGCAGGCTGAGGCAGGACTGCTTGAGCCCGGGAGGCTGGGACCAGACCCTGGCTCCCCCAAACAACTCAGCGGACAAAGTCAGCCCTGTTTACCTAGGTCCAGCAAAAGCAAATCTGCACCAGGGGTTGGACCGACACCACACTGCCCACTACACTCCAAAGCCGTCGGAGCCGGGAAATTTCTACCCTGACAAGACAGCACGCATTGCTGCTTCCCACACAGCCCCTCCACTGGCCTGCATCTCCCCAGACACCGCTGTGCTCACTCCAGGGTTGGCACAACAGGGCCCCGGAAGCCCACACTTACAACCCTTGACGGACATGGGACACTCAATTCTCTCCGCAAATCTGGTCATAAACCGAAGTGGACGAAAACTAAATCGAAATCTCCAGTAAGGTTAACATTGAACCCAACCCCTCAATTTGATTCAGTTCTCATCCAGCTCAGTTTTGACCAGAATCACAGAAAGAATCGAGTTTGGGAACTGAGGCGCCACTGGAAGCCCCACACCAGTGCCTTCCTGTGAAGGTCCTGTCTCTCGTTCGTGGCTGGACAGAGAACAGGAGAGTCCAGGGTTCCAGGAAGCTGCTGTGGCCTGGCTGCCCTGCTGTCACACTGGTCAGAAGGAAACCACACAGCTCGGCCAGCCAGAGTCTGCCCTCTAGCTGGCACCCGAGTGCCTGTTGCCAGGGTGACAAACCACACACAGCAACTGTCACCAACCCCGAGGCTGCAAGTCCACACACAACAAACCACCACCCCAGTTACAGGCGGACAGGACAGACAGGGCAGTGTGGTGGCACCCACATTTATTAGGGGTGCCTAGTACAGGCGCTGGGGCTTGCCCATGGTGCTCTTGATGTACAGGGCCCGCACGTTCTGCCAGTTCTTCTTGAGCAGTGACACCAGGAAGTTGACAGCCAGGTGGATGTTGTACACCAGCTCATCGTCTGTCATCTTCACATGTCCGACGGCCACAGCCAGACAGAGCACCTGGGTGGAGGGACAGGATTGGGTGAGGCCAGGGAGGAGCAAAGCTATTCCAGCTCCCGGCAGCCCACGCTGGGGCCCAGGCAACAAAGCTGAACACAGGCATTGGGGCGAGGGGCCCGCTACCTTCTTCATCTGGAACTTGATGGTGGACTTCACCTCGTCCACTTTGGCTGCCATGTTCTCATTGTGGGTCAGCAGGGAGGGGAACTTGCCGGCCTTATTGAGGCCAGGGCCCAGGATCCGTGGGATCTGCTTGATCAGAGACTCGGAGGCCAGAAAGGCATCGTACTTCTTGGCTGCAAACAAGAAACACAGCATGCTTTCTAGCCAGCCAGGGGGTGGGGGGTGCTGGACATGGTCACCAGGCCAGAGAAGCACCTGAGCCAACACAGACGCGACTTCTAAGTAGCATCTTCTCTCCCGCTCCCAGGACAGGGTGTTTATAGTACTGAGAACTCACCCCAGGGAGACACGAGCTGCACCCCTATCCCGCTCTATTTTGAGACAAGGTCTTGCTACATTTTCCAGGACTGGATTTGAACTTGTTATCTTCCTGCCTTAAGCAGCTGTGATTTACTGGATAGTGTATTTTAAGTGGCTACTTCCATACACAAATGCAGTTTTGCATCCTGAAACCTGGCAGCCTAAGACCCTAGGAACCCACAACCTACAGTACAAGAGCGAGGCCGGAGGCTGCTCTGCCCACACTGGCTGGGCTTAAGTCCGGCCTCTCATGCCCTAGCTGGGGCCTTGGCCATGACAACAGAGGACCTTTGAAACTAGCTCTGACACCGCTGTGTAGACCACAGTAGGGACCAAAACCAAACTAGCAAATTCCAATTCACAGCACTGGGCTAGTGAACCTAAAAACTCACCTGACATGTTTTCCACAGGTGAAGTGTTTGCCCTCATTACCTTGAGTTAGGTGACCCAAAAATACTGCATCTGTTTAAAGCCAGCATTTGGCCTCCTCCCTTAAAGACCACAAGGTGATGGCACACGCCTATAGTCCCAGTACTTGGGAGGCTGAGGCAGGATGACTGCTGAGTTTGAAGCCTGCCTGGGCTACACAGTGAGTCTATCCCAGGCCAGCCTGAACTACAAAACAAGACTTTATCTCAAAAATAAAACAAAATGGGCCAGGGATTTAGCTCAGTGGTTTCGCCGCCTGCTGCGCAAGCGCAAGGACCTGAGTTTGATCCCTGGTACCAAAAAAACCCACAAAAAAGCACACGCCTCAAAAAAATATTAAAAGGCCAAACCTTCACTTACTGTTTTCTCACACTAGGGGTTGGCTCCAAGACTCTGGCATTCAGTTACGGCCTTGGGACCTAGAAGCCCAACGTTCATAAAACTAAAACCTCCACTCAGGCTGCTTTGCCACCCACAGCAATTGGCCCCCACACTACTCCCCGACCCCGTTTTGTTTTTTCAAACACGATGTCATGTGGGGCCGGAAATTTAGCTCAGTAGTTCCACCGCCTGCCTCGCAAGTGCAAGGTCCTGAGTTCAAACCCTGGTAACAAAGAAAAAAAAAAAACCCCACATTGTAGGGGCTGGGGATTTAGCTCGGTGGTTCTGCTGCCTGCTTCGCAAGCTCAAGGTCCCAAGTTCGATCCCCGGTACCAAAAAAAACTAAAACCCACATCTCACCTAACCCAAGCTGGCCCGTGACTCACCGCGATCCTCCGGCCTCAGCCTCCCAAGCGCGGGGATCACAGGCGCACTCCCCCAGCCAGCTGCCGCCTGTTTTAAAAACCCACCTCTCGGGGAGGCTGAGGAAGCGCGGTTACAAGTCCAACCCCCCTGAGCAATTCCGCGAGCCCTGACTCAAGATGAAACCAGAGGGGGCGGGCTGGGGAGAAGGAAGGCGGTCAGCCCAAGGCCCCGGGTTCGAGAGCCTCTTCCGTGCAGGTCGCACCCCCCGCAGTGCCCACCCAGCTTCTTGACCAGCTTCTTGTTCTTGTTGAGCTTCTTCAGCGCCTCGATGTCCATGTGGGGGATGTCCACCGCCTTGGCCTCATCGCAGTGCTGCTGATCGCCCAGGACGCACACGGAGAACTTGGGGCGGGGCGTGGATTTCAGCCTGCGCGGGAGACGCGGTCAGGTCAGGAGAGGCCAGGCCAGGCCAGGCCAGGCCAGGCCAGGCCGGCCGGGCCGGGCCGGGCCGGGCCGGGGCGGGGCCGGGCGCCAGCCTTACCCGGGGGCGTCATCACCAGCGCCAGCCTGGCTTCCTCAGGCTGGGCGGCGGGCTCGGCCGAGGCCTCCCCACGCCTCCCCTCTTGTTTTAAGACCCAGGGTGGGGGTCCGCGCGGCCCGGGCTCAGCGGGGCCAAGGGCACCGAGGGCCGAGCGGGGTCAGAGCGGTGCCAACCTGACGGTGCCCGAGAAGCGCTTGTCCTTCTGAGGGTCATAGTTTTTCAAGCTGATCTGCAGCTCCACGGTCTCCAAAAACCTTGGGGGGGGGGGGACAGCGTTACCGAGCCGCCAGCGCCGACGCCGCCGGCCCCGCGCCCCGGCAAGCCCGCTCACTTCCGCTTCTTGCGCTGGTTCCCATGCAGGACCTCGCGCACCGCCTCGTACAGGGTGTCCCGGGAGACTTTGCTGCTGCAAAGGAGAAACGAGAACGTTCGGAGCTGGCCCGCCGCCGAGACAACCTTCGCCGCCCCGCGACCTCCCGGCTCTGGGTGAGGAGACTGAGGCTCAGAACCTGGCGGGAAACAGACCCACAGGGACCGACGCAGTGCAAATAATGCCCCGCCGGCCACAAAACTGTCGGCAAGGCGTCTAGAAGCACAGATGGACGCGGATAGCACTCTAAAATACAGCTACCTCATGGTTCCTGGCGCGGCGGTAACCGGAAAAGAAACTAGCTAGCCCGAGCATGCGCAGAAATAATGGTCCTGCTCTCGCGAGAAATTCCCTGTTCCCGCGGGCTTTGGTCCAGAGGGTGGTGCGGGCGCTCAGCCGTGAGCACTGCCGGATGCCGCCGCTGGAGGGCGCCGCTAGAATGCGCCGCGGGACCCGAGGAAGCCCGGTGGTGCTCCTCTCCGCCCTTGTCCCGTTCGCCGAGCTGCGGTCCGCCTGGCTCTTAGCTAAGGGCAGAGTCTGAGGCCCAGCACGGAGTCCAGATCTCGTGCCAGACCCCGTATTTAACCTCGCCTGACCTTCGTTTTGCACAATAATCGAGTGAACTGTTTTCTTTCACTCCGGTGAATCAGGCGGGAGGGCCTGGGGCAGGTACCGGCTGGCTGGCCCATCCCTGTGAGAGACCTGGGAGCTGCAGGGGGGCACACTAGGAAATTATTTTTGTTCTTGAGATTCGCAGAACTGAAAAAGCATCTGGTGAGTAGGCAATTAGGATAGGGTCAGGATAGCTCTCCTTTGGCCACAGAGCTGAGAAGGTGCTCACCCGCCCCTTCACCAGCCCGCATCCATCTTCTGGACCCAAGCGTTGCCACTAAGGTTATCTTGGCCCCGTATCCTGCCTTCTGTGGGAGCAGGGTCCTGTGACAGGCAGGGGACAGCACGGTGAGGACCGCTGATTCTGGCACATCCGTCCTTCAGACTTCTGCCCGTGTCCTCTGCCCTCTGCACCAGCCTCTGTTCTCAAAACCAGGCTTTAGCCCTCAGCCTGACCTCCCTCCTGCACCATCTTGCTGTGGCAGGGACTCCTAGGAAGTGCCCGGGAAGCCAGCTCTGATCCTGGCCCCACCTGCACTGGGGGCGGCAGGGAACGTGCACTAGTGAACGTTTGTTTTCCACATGAGGCACCTAGCCAGGTGCTGGGGGACACAGAGGCCCAGAGCACTGCACGCCCACTTCTGCCTGACAGGTGAGCAGTCCAGGAGAGCCCAGCAGTGCCCTCTGCGTCACCTGCCCAAACCCTTCCTCAGTGCCACAGAGTCACTCGCACCTTTAAGCCCCCACACCAATCCCCCAGTGGTGGCTGAGCACCTCACCCATGCGACCGTCATCTAGGACAGGGCTGCGGTGGGTGCACCACATGGTACTGGCCCACAAAATCTGAATGAATTCAGGACCAACACTCTACAACCTTCCCCTCCCTGGGAAGCAAATGCCCTTGTCACTGAGCAGGGAGAGCGGGAAGTTTCAACACACACCCAGGGTCAACGGGAAGGCAGATGCTGCTCCTAACAGGAGTCACCGAGCTTCCTGCTGTTTATTAAATACTATGGGTAAATTACTCTGGAGTCTCTGTTCCTGCACCCTGAGCAGCAGTGAGGACTGAGCCAGCCCAGCATCCTCTGCGAGCACAGTGCATCCCACCCTCAGCCCAGCTGCCAGGGGGAAGTCGGTCCCAAAGACACTGGGCTCTGCCTTTAACCTGAGGCCAGGGCTCGGGACAAGGTGGCGCAGGCAGAAGCTGGTGTCGGGGCTCCAGGAGGGTGGCTGACAGTCAGCGAGCCAGGCGTCTCAGGGCAGCCTGCAGGGACTTCCGCAGGAAGGTAGTGTGGGTCTCCAGGGCCCCAGCCAGGCCCAGCCTCTGGGTCTCAGTGATCTGGGGACAAGGAGGAACCCGTAAGGGCGGGCAGCTGTTCTTCCCCTGGCCTCTACCCACGGGCTCTGTGGAAGGGCAGAGAGGGAAGCCAGGACTCAAGCACCAGGGAGGAGAAGCAGCCCGAGACTGCATCAGATGCACACTTCTGTTTCCACTTCTCTGGGAGGGGCTGCAGCAAGTGTCAGGAAATCCAGATGAGCCTGTGCCTATGATCCTCAAGAAAAGGGTAAAACACCAACTATGGGTGGGGGTGAGGAGCTGCTATAATCCCAGCACTGACTCCGGAGGCCGAGGCAGGAGGATGATGAGTTCAAGGCCAGCCTCAGCTACATAGTGAGTTTGAACTCTATGGTTGTGACCCTGAAGGAGAGGGAGAAGAAAGAAGAGGAGATGGGCGGGGAGGGAGAAGAAAAAAAATGTAAAACAACAGCCAAGAACATACAGCCCTCAAGAGAAAACTACAGGTAAAGCTCCAGCCCATGACCTACAGGGCCTCCATAAAACGCTGCCAGCCTGGCAGTGAGACCTTGAGCAAACTGCTTTCACCTGAGTCTTAATTCCTCATCTATAAAACGGTGCTGCCAGGCACTATGGCACACCTGTAGTCCCAGCTACCAGGGAGGCTGAGGCAGGAGGATCATTTCAGCTCAGGAGTTTGAGACCAGCCTGGGCAACATGGCAAGACCCTATCTCAGGAAAGAGAGTGAGCAAGTGAGAAAGAGAGGGGAAAGGGGAGGGAGGGGGAGAGAGAGAGGCAGAGAACCCGCTCATGGCAGTGTCACGCCTAGGCCTAGATCTACGGAATATTCTAGCAAGTTCACATACACGAAGGGGTCAGAACTGTGCCCGGACGGAGCAAGAGCAATGGCATGTTCACTGTGAGTGCTTCTGCTCTCCGACCTCAGCCCCTCCCCACCACGCCCACACTCTTAGGCCCAGCCACGCACACCTTGGGCCTGCACTGCCTACACTGCACCACTGCCCAGAAGGCCCTGTCCCTCCTCAGCACTCGGCTGCCACCTGTGAGTCAGGAGCCAGGCCCAGCTCCCAGCCAAAGCAAGGCTCAGCCCCCCTTCTCCCACTGCTGCCGCATGCCCCACGGAGCTATCTGACTGCCATGTCCTCTCCCTCTCACTAGCCCAGGGCTGGGGACACGGTCACTCAAGGGGAGGGAGTGCATCACGGTCACTCTGCGTCCCCCACACGCACCTGGCCCAGGGCGATGCTGGCTGGATGAATGAACCCGAGCAGATCTAACCCCCAAGCCCACATTCTGGGCGTGAACATGCAGTTTCCTTGGCAAATGCTTGGGGCTTTATCCCTCGAAAATGATCTGTACCCTTCTGGCAGGTCCAGAGCAGCCTTGCCAGTAGGACCAGTCCCGTGGCCCCCTTGACACTCACGCTGGCCTGGTACTTGGTCATCACTGTCAGCATGAGCTTGGCATAGGCCACAGAGGCGGTGGCTGCCAGACCCTCTTTACAGAGTTTCTCCATCAGGACACTGAGCTTCTCAGGTGTCATCTCCACCTGCATGATTGGGAGATGGAGCAGTGACATAAGAAAGGGCTGGCCCTTCATCCAGCCACCCCTGGATTCAGCTCTCAGAACCCCCATTTCCCAGCCAGGTGAGCCTGCTTATGTAAGAGTTCTATCCGTGTGGTTCTGGGATGTCCCCAAAACCCCATGTGCCAAAAGCTTGGTTCCCAGGTGGGAGGTGGGGCCTCATGGGAGGAAAGTAGGTTATTGAGTGCTTGCCCTTGAGGGGGCTGCAGCCCCAGCCCCCACTTTGGTTCCTGGCTGCCAATCCTCAATACCTCTGGATGGATGGGTGGGTGAATGGGAGGATGGATGGATGGATGGATGGACAGACAGATGATGTTGTGGTTTGGATCTGCAATGACCCCCCCAAAGCCTCCCACCCTGACAGCTGGGGCTTTTGGAAGGTGACTGGATCGGGGGTGTTGTGCTCATCAGTGGATGAATCCACCATGAGTCCAGAGCTGAAGGTGCTGTCAGATGGGGCCTGGTTGCAGGGAGTCACAGCAAGTGTGACCTGGCCGGGCCCATCTCCCTCCTTGGCTCTTCTCTTCTCTCTCTGCCTCCTGGCTGCCATCATGGGAGCAGCTTTCTTCCTCCCAGGCCTCCACCATGCTGTCCCTGCCTCAGAGTCGCCAACCATGCCTGGTCTGAGACTTCTGAAACCTTGAGCCAAAATAAATCCCTCCTGCTTTAAATTGCAGGTGTCTGGTATTGTGTCTCAGTGACGAGAAAGTGACTAAGATATAAATAAATGCGTGAACGTGTGAATCTATTATCCAGTCAAAAATTAAATTCATAGGGCTGGGGATCTAGGTCAGTGGTTCCACTGCCTGGCTCTCAAGCGCAAGGTCCTGAGTTCGATCCCAGGTACCAAAAAAAGAAAATTAAATTCATACACACATCAAAAAATTCTGCCACAAGGTCTGCAGCTAGTAACGGGCAGAGCTAGATGGACTGCACAGTCAGCTCTTTGCTCCCAGCCTTACAAACTGTAGGATCTCCCAGTGTCGCGGGCACCCTGAGGAGGGCAGCTGTCCCACTTGGCCTTCCCTCACCTAGGACTTGGAAACCCAGAAGCCCGAGTCCTCCAGAGACCCTTGCCCGTCCCTTCTCTTTCGTCTCCAAGGCCATGGCTCACCTGCCGCTCCAGGAGCGCCTGCAATACCAGGAAAGTCTCCTCCTTCCAGGACAGCTCCAAGATCTGCCTGCACAGCAGTGGCCTCGTGAGCACAGCCTGGCCTCTCACCAAGCCCGGGCACCCAGCTCCTACTCCACACAGGCCGGGGGCCGGGGACAGCCTCAGGTCCCCATTCTGCAGTGCCTCACACGGAGCTAGCCCCGAGGCCTGAGGCGGAACTGGGGAAGACGGCAGTCCTGGGCCAGAAAGGTGCAGCCTGCAGGGGCACACAGGTGCAAGGCACAAGACCATGACGGGGACTTTGAGGCACTGCGGCAGGCAGGACCCTGCTGGCTCCCACAGCGGCGGTGGCAGGAGGAGCCCAGCCTTGGGGAGAAGATGGGCATTAAGGGCACGGGGCTTGCACACTCACCCCAGCATGAGGGCCTGAGCATCTGGCTCCAGGGACTCGTCCTTCATCAGGTGACACAGCAACTCTGTTTGTGCCGGACCTGGGCGGGGAAGCAACAGGCATCTTTACTCACTGCTTCCCCAACCCAGGGCCAGGCTGGGCGAGGGTGCTGGGAAGAGGGCAGGCCTGTGGGCCTGGGGTTGGGTCTGGCGTTACCTGTGCCTGGGGCCTGCAGCACGGTGCCCAGGAGGGCGCTGCAGACTGGGTAGGGGTAGCTGGCACAGAAGGAGGTCAGCGCGGTTCTGAGCAGCCGGGAGGCTGAGGAGGTCAGGGAGAGGACCTGCAGGGAGGGACCGGAAATGCTAACTCACTCTCCTCCCTTCAGTGATAACTTTTTGGTGATACTTGGGGCTTGTGCCCAGGCCTTTTTATTTTTATGTTTATTTATTTTAAAATTATTATTATTTTGTGTGTGTGTGTGTGTGTGTGGTACCGGGGATTGAATCTCAGGCCTCTGCAGCGAGCTACATCCGCAACCCTTTTAAAAATTTTTAATTTCTTTTTTTGTACCAGGATCGAACTCAGGACCTTGCATTTGCAAGGCAGGCATGGTGCCACTGAGCTAAATCCCCGGCCCTAAAATTTTTTAAATTTTGAGACAGGTTCTCACTAAGTTGCTAAATTGCCCAGGCTGGCTTCAAACTTGCAATCCTCCTGCCTCAGCCTCCCTGAGTGCAGGGATTACAGGCAGGTGCCACTGCACCCAGCTTTCAATAAATGTTTATCGGACACATCTCTCAGACGATGATGTGTTATGACGGAGAAAACAACCAAGTGCTTTTCCTGAGGACTCGCATAGACCCACCCTGTGGAAAGGACACATAGGTCCCATCCCCAGCCCCCCAATCCTCAGAAGCCTCTCCGTCAGCTTCTGGAAGGTTCTGGGGCACAAAAGAGCTAAGTGGGTACCCAGCCAGGGGGCCTCCCTTGCACCAGGCTTCCAGGACGGTGTCTCAGCAGCAGCCCCTCCAGGGGGCCCATACCCACCCCGCTGTCCCCAGAACTCCCAGTGCCTCCCAGAGCACCTACTCGGCCCAGAAAGAGGCTCCTGGCCAGCACAGTGGCATTGCTGATGCTGAGGCCTGGGGACAGGGCCAGCAGCCAGGTGCACAGCTGCAGGAGGCTGGCGTCCGAGAGTTGGGGGAGCTGCAGCTGGGCACACAGCTGCTCCACCTGCCACAGGATGGGGACACACAAATGCTCGATCCGGCTCTGCTATGCTGGCACCAGCCAAATGGCCAGTAGGGGCGGAACAAGGCTGCTCTGGGGCAAGGTAAGGCGACAGGAACTGACCCCCTCACCTGGGGAGGAGACCAGGCTCAGAAGCACTCGGGGTGACCCCCACCCGAGAGACAGAAAAGATGAAATTCCCTCCCCAATTCCCCAGAAGTAGCGAGACAGAAATGGGGAAAGGTAGGGAAGGGGACGGCATATCCCCAGGGCCCGGCAGGCTTTCTGGTCTTACCTGGCCAGGACTGCATTCATGGAGAAGCTGCAGCTCTTTTGGGGGGGTATCCCCCAGCCCCCCCAATCCCTGGGGAGGCAAAGCCACATCAGGCCTGCAGAGACCCTGTGACAAGTCCCAGAGGCCACCCCTTCCACCAGTGAAGTGTGTGGCTGAGATTCTAGAAGGTGCTGCCCAGGGAAGGAGCTGTGCCCAGGGCTGGCTGTGCCCTGGCAGCCCCGCCTCCCCCACCAGCCTGCGCATGCGCTGGGGCTGCCCTGGGCAGAAGGTGGAGGGAGGGCTACTGCGTGCAGGGCCGGGCCACTCACCTCCCCGAAGGTCCTCAGCAGCTGCTGCAGCCTGGGCACCTGGGCCTGTGGGGGAGAAGCCGTCACTGCCAAGTCCCTGCCCCACGAGCAGCCCCAAGCCCCATGCCAGCTGCTCTGGCAGCGGAGCAAGAAGGTAGATGAGAGCTCCAAGAACATGAAGCCCATCTTGCAAAGGCCTAAGAATCTGCTAGATGGGGTTTCTGTGTGCTGACCCCGGCGAGGTGGACTCAGGCCAGCGCAGGCTGGGTGCTGGCAGGACGGGCCTCCCCTGGGCCGCACCCTTTAGCAGCCCCACAGCAGACATCAGGAGAACGGAGGCTCCCACTTCCCACAGCTCCCTTCCCAGCCCCCTCCTCACACGTGCCCACCCTCAATCCACAGACAGCAGTCATCTCACTGGGAAAGTGCCCAGCTGGCCTTCTCCTAAACGGTGACTCCAAATACAGCCTCCCCTCACTGGACCTGCAGGGCTCCGGGCAGCTCCACACTGGCCCATCGGCCCTCCGCCTCCCCTGGACTCTGGCAAGCACCACAGGGCCCGGCTCCCATGACGAGGGGCTCTTTCCTCAGGGGTGATGCTGCTCCTCCAGCCACCAGGGATTCCAAGGACAGGGCTCCTGGTCTCTCCTTGTGATCATCTTCCTCTTCTTCCCTTTCCCCACTTCGGAACCTTTTGGGGGCCTTCTCCCCCTCAGGATTGCCAGTCTCTTCCCCTGGCCGTTGCCTCCGTTTCCCACACTGCTGGGACTCCCTGTCCTCCTCTTCCTCGAGGTCTGGAGCCCTGGGCAGTTTCAACCTCCTGCCTCCCTGGCCCAGCCGCCTACAAAGGCTTCGGAGCTGCGCCCGGCACCCTTCTGACAGCACGGAGGCTCCCTCCAAGGAGACACCGGGCCCAAGGTCTCTCTGCAGCAACCTCCCCAGGGCCTGGAGCCAGGCATCAGGGGCAGAGACCCGGTCCTGTCGGGCAATCCGCAGCACAGGCAGGAGCTGGCTTTCAGGCATCGAAGGCCGTACAGCCATCAGCAGGGACAGCAGGTTCCTCTGGCAGAACTGGGGCAGGCGCAGCAGCAGCGGCCTCCTGGGTAGCCGAGGGAAAGCAAGCAGTCAGAGCACCACGCAAAGGGAGCTGCACCCCAGAAGAGGCCAAGCGGATGGAGAAGGGACAGCCCAAGGGCCACTGACAAGCGTTTACTGAACATCTATCATCATCCAGCCCTGCTCTTTGAACTCCTGGACTTCATTTCAGCTAAACAATTCAACATTGGAACCTATTCTTTAATAGGCCCAAGCTTGTTTTATGTGATGAAAAAAGTTCATTGCCATATTTCAGGCAAAAATAATACTCCAGGATACTGTATATAATTTTAACACAGGTGTCCGCTTTGTATGTGAGCACTTATACCGCAAGAATACATTCGACTTTTTTTTTTTTTTTTGGAGACAGGGTCTCACACTATGTAGTTCAAGATGCTCTTGAACTCATTACGTATCCCAGGCTGGCCTCCAACTCGCAGTGATCCTCCTGCCCCAGCCTCCTGATTACAGGTGTGCACCACCACACCCGGCTGCACACTCGGTTTTTAGAGGTAGAACTATTCGGTCAAAGTCGATTTGACTCCACTTCCACTTCCGCCCACGGGAGGCCCCTCCTCCCCTCGCCCTGGGAACAATTTAACCTCTCTGGGCTCCGTCCGGCGGCACTGACAGGGACTTACAGCTCCAGGGGGCCGCCAGGGCCCCGCAGCGCCGGCTCCTCCCGGCACAGCGCCCCCAGGAGGTCGCCCCAGCTGAAGGGATCCCCGTCGCGGCGGCCCAGCGCCCGCAGCACCCCAAGGCCGCGCCGCGCCCCGTCGGACCCGGCCTGCAGCGCCTGCAGCAGCAGGCGGGCGGGAGCTTCAAGGGGCGCCCAGGGCTCAGGCCCCGCACCCTCAGCCCCAGGGGGCGCCCCCTCCGGGGTCGCCATACGACAGGCCCCTTTGGGTGCGCGCGGGAGCCCCGTTCCCGCGCGCAGACAGAGGAGGCGGGAGGAGGCACGCCAGAGCCGCCGGAAGGGGCGTGTCTGGGAAACATCCAATCGGGGAATGGGTGGGCAGGACCACGAGCTTGGGCCAAAGAAGGGTTGGTATGTGGGCGGGGCTTGACGGAGGTGGGATCCGCTGCTGACGGCTCCACGACTTTTTCTGCTCTCCCTAAAGTAGTGGGGCAGGGGGGATGTCAGGGTCCTGTGTGCTTAGGGTCCAGGCTGCATTTAATTTTAGTTGTCGTCCATGTTGCTTGTAGATCATGAGCCTTGCTATAAGTGTTGATCCCCGTTTACCACCCCTCTTCAACCCTCCACGAGCCCAAAACTTCTTGGAAATATTTGACGATCAATAGCCCTGAGGATGGGGTCGCAGCGAAGCCCACTGCCATCCTTGTGGTCGCAGCCCCTCCTGTGAATTTCCTCCCACGCCAAGCAGCAGCCTCCCTCTCACGGTTTACAGGAGTGTCCCTGCCTCCCTGAGCTAGAGTTTAGGCCAGACTGGGGAGGCAGGGAGGCTCCCTGCAGAGCAGGAAGAAAGGGAGGGGGAGAGGAGGCCTTTCGAGCCGGCTTCTGGGGCTACACGCATCCGTTCATGCAGTGTGGACCGAGCCAAGGCTGGGGGGTCGGGCACAGGGAACCAAGCACAGACCACAGCCCTCCTGTTGCCGACACAGTGGGGAGAGAAAGCTAAATAAGTGAGCAGCAGGATGTTTGACTGTGAGAAGCGCGTTCCAGAACACCGCAGGTTGGTGAGGTACAGTACTTTTAAACAAGGTAGTCGGGCAAGGGGAAACAAAGGGGAGGAGGTCAGTGAGCCTGGTAGGAGTATGGAGACCACGCCAGGCAGCAGGAGACCCTGAAGCAAAGGGCCTGGGGCAGAAGTGTGGCTGGAGCCCCAGCACTTGCTGCAGAAGAGCTCAGACAATCACTGGGCCTGAGGTCTGAGGACCTGGGCTTTCACTTGGAATAGTATGGAAGCCTTGGGAATATTCTGAGCTTGATCTGATAGCCACTTAAGCCAAATTTTATTTTTTTCTACAGTAATTTCATGGAAACTTTTGGAAAAGACTAAGGTGTATTTCTTAGATAGTGTCTTAGTTTCTTTTTTTTGGAACCGGGGATTGAACTCTGGTCCTTGAGCTTGTGCAGCAGGCGGTGAAACCACTGAGCTAAATCCCCGGCCCTGTCTTAGTTTCTTTCAAGCACTTTATTCCAGGTGAGCAGCTCTGATTTTGGAGGGAAGGTTGACCAGATGACCAGATGTTGGCAGGAGGGCCTGACAAGCAGTGGGTTGGGCCATGAATGCCACAGAGAGGATGGCACTACCAGCCAGCCTCAAGTACAGCCCCACTCCCTATGCTAGGCTCCAGCTGCCACAGTCTGGTTTCTAGCCATCTGCAAGGAGAACAGGGGGGAGAGTTCTAAATATGGTTCATGGGGGATGTCTCGAGACCCTTTCCCAGGCTCCATGGAGTCATTATGCTCTTGTGATGTTAAGATGTTGTTTGCTGGACATGGTGCACAAATCCGTAATCCAGAACTCTGGGAGGCTAAGGCAGGAGGATCACCAGTTCAAGCCCAACCTGGGCAACTTGGTGACTTAGTGAGACTCTTGTCTCAAAATAAAAAAGTTCAAAAGGGCTGAGATGTAGCTCAGTGTGAAGGCTCTGAGTTCAATCCCCAGTGCCACACACACAGAAAAGGTGTTTCCCCTTCCCACTGTCACCCTCTCACAACTGTCCAGCAAAGTTTTCCAGATACCACGGGACCAGTGACAGCACAAGAGACAGAAAACAGAGCAACTTTGCTCCCCTGGGGCAGGGGGAGGCTAGGAGCAGACCACTCTGCAGACATCACAGCATGCATTAGGTGCATTTTATTGGTTTTCTTTCAAAATCCTTCTACAAAAGAGCAAAGCTAAAAACCAAGGCTCTGGCAAGCAGTGAGACTCTTCCTTGTTCTGAGTCACACACACAACCCCCCCGCATGTCCCCAGCTATGAGTGGAGGACCTGCTACTTTCCCCAACACTGAACCCCAAGGGGAAGGCCTGCCACCCGGCATCCTGTCCCCTGCCCGTGCAGGAAGCCACACTAGGAGCTGCCATGATCCAGCAGGAACTCGGAGTCCCAGGGGACCAGGACAGGGCCTGGGAAGGACACATGCTCCTCTGGCCTGGTGGCCCCCAGGAACAACACTGGGACCAGCACCTGGGGGGAGAGAGGGACCAGCCTCAGCCACAGGAGCCTGGACCAGGGAACAGGGTTCACCCCAGGTCAGTAGGGCCACATTAGGCCTGGGACCATCTACCTATCTACTGCACAGTTGTCAAATGGAAGCTCGAAGTCATTGTGGACATGAATTATGAACCCCCACATCTGCGGCCCCCACCTCACTGCTGGGAGCCAGTTGCAGGCTCCCGGGCCAGGGAGGACCAGAGGCCAGGGCCTGCTCCGGGAGCTGGTGCAGGTAGATGCAGTTGGATCTGAACGGGCAGCGGCCATTCCCCCGCATGAAGAACCGGCACTGGATCTGGCTAGGAGGGGCAGAGGGAGAGAAAGGTCATTGCCTTGAGCTCTTGTTCCAGGAGCAAGAGGTTCTCAAGGCTGACCCCTAAGGTTGGGCAGGCTGTACACAGCAGGAAAGCACCCATCCAAGCTGGCACCCCTGGATGGTCTGTAGATTTGGCATTGATTCCACCACGTTCCAGCAGATGGCAGCAAAGTGACTGCCTCTAATTCTGTCTCCCTGGCCAGCAGGGGCCTCAGGAACCTCTTTTCTTTCAAAAAAGTTTTAGTAATAATACCAAAAGAGGGGTGATCACACATCAGCCTCAAATGTGTCTCAGCAGCCAAATGAGAAGCTGGGCATGCATGGTGCTGCATGCCTGTAATCCCACACTCAGGAGGCTGAGGCAGGAAGATTGCCACAACTTCAAGGCTGGCCTGGGCTACATAGTGAGTTCAAGGCCCGCCCGAACTATATACTGAGACCTTGTCTCCAAAACAAAACAAAACAAAACAAAACAAAAAAGACCCCAAGAAAACTTAGAACAATGTCTGGGCTGCCAGGTAGATGTAAGATGTGGTAGCTATTGGCTAATGTGATTATCAAGCTTCCCGCTGAGATTTGAGTTTTACTCTGAAAGGCCAGGTTCAGGGAAAAGTTGTAAACAATATGTGGTCTGCTTCAGGAAGACCAGATTTCTTTTATTATTCCTTTTATTTATTTATTTTTTTGAGACAAGGTCTCACTAGGTACCTCAGACTGACTCTAACTCACAATCCTCCTGCTTCAGCCTCCTGAGTGCTGGAATTACAGGTTTGTGCCACCTTGCCTGCCTGCCAGTTTTCTCCCAGCACAGAAAGCTGAGAGAGAAGAAGGGCAGAGCCCAGGCTGGCAGCCTTTTTTCTAGCTTTGTCCTTCTCTGCTGACCTCCAGAATGCAACTGAACCTTTCCTGCTTCCTGAGACCTCCCTGAGCACCAGGGTGGGAGCCCAGGAATCCCTGCAAACAACTGTCCCTTCCCTTCCTACCATCTGCCCAAATCCAGAGCCAGGACCACCTCAGCTCAGCAGGTTCCACGCAGATGCCTCCCAGTGTCCGGCCCTTGTGTAGCGGCATCAACCCCAGTGGAGGAAACATAATAATTCTCATTTTCACTTGATGGCCCGGGTCTGGCCTCCCTGTCAAGCCACTTCCTGCGCTTCCTGCTGGAAACAGCTGTGAGCCCTAAACCAAGGCCCCGGCCTGCTCCTTCCCACACCCAGCTCCACCTGCCTAGCTGCTCTCCTTTCCAGACCTGTCTTGGGGCAAGGGTGGGCTTCTCCCAGCCAGAGGTGAGGGCTGTTTCTTTATCCCACCCGATACTCTGACACACTGCTGTGTTGGCTGTCATGGCCCCCGGGAGACCCAGGCCCGGTGGTGCACGCCAGTCATCCCAGCACTCTAGGAGGCTGAGGCAGGCAGATGGCAAGTTAAGAGTGCAGCCTGAGGAATTTAGCACTTTGGAAGACGCTGTCTCAAAATAAAAGATAAGAAGGGTTGGGGATGTAGCTCAGTGTGATGGCCCTGGGTTCAATCCCCAGTGCGAGAGCAAGGAAGGAAGGAACGTAGGGAGGGAGGGAGGGAAAGTGGGCAGAAAGCAGGTCTGTCAGGGCACCCGGGAGGACGAATTACGGAGCCGCCCTGCAGCTCGGGGTCTGAGCCAGGTTGGGAGAGACCCAGCCCTGCCCTTCCTGCAGGCAGGCCACAGACCGCTGCGGGTCCTCTGGACAAGCGGGTGGGGGACCCCGGCCTGCAGCGCAGCGCCTCCCGCCTCAGCCCTCACCGGGTCCGGGCGGTGAAGGTCCGGATGAGCTGCTCCTTCTCAGGCCCCTCGCTCACCCAGAACTTGTAGGGGATGATGTAGCTGGAGTAGACGCGACACTGGGGACAGGCCCTGCAGGGGCGGGGTGGAAGGGCGGGGACGGTCAGGACCCCGCGGCCCGGGCAGCTGCGGGGACCCAGAGGCGACACTGACTTGATGACGTCCAGCGGCAGGCGCGGCGTCCGGCGCCAGGTGCGCAGGCAGCGCAGGCAGTGGGCGTGGCTGCAGTTGGGCAGGATCCCGAAGGCGCGCTCGGCCGCCGGCTTCTCCCACACGCGCTCCCTGCAGATGCCGCACACCACGTCCCGGCTGTCCCCCCGGCCCTGTGGCCACAGGTCGGATCAGACACCTCCCGCCACCGCCCCAAACCCGGCCCACCCCCTGCCCCGCAGCCCCGCCCTACCTCTGCCAGGTCCAGGCTCTGAAGGGCGCCCGAGAGCTCCCCGACCGGGTCGGACCCGGGCTGGGGCTCCTGGGCCAGGCTGGGCTCCCAGGCAGCAGCTGTGAGGGAAAACTGGATCTGTCACTCACTCACGTGCGTGTGCCACGCAGGAGCCTGTGGGGGCCCCAGATCCTGCCCCACACTGCCCAGGATTTTAAGGCTCCCGCGCGCACTGAGCTACATTCCCAGCCCTTTTTAAAATTTTTTATTTTGAGACAGGGTTTCACTGAGTTGCTAATATTGCCCATCCTCCTGCTATCCTCCTGCCTCAGCCTCCCAGAGTGTTCAGATCACAGGCGTGTGCCACCACACTCAACTCACATATGGCTATGGAACAGCCAGAATAGGTTTAATCCCAATTGACAAGTGCCCTGAGTGAAAAACACACGTGGGATTCTGAAATAGCACAACAAAAGACCAAAATATTTCACTAGTTACATTTTATATTGGTGACAAGTTGAAATGATAATATTGACAATATTGGATATGTAATTTTTATATGTTGGGGTAGATAAAATATTAAAATTAATTTCAAAAAAGTTGATGTCAATTTCTTTAAAAAGTTGCTTTTATCTTTTTAAAAATACGCCTACTAGAAAATTTTAAATTACAAAAAAAATTGGCACAATGGTACACTCCTGTAATCCCAGCACTCAGGAGGCTGAGGCAGGAGGATTGCTGTGAATTCCAGGCCAGCCTGCACTACATAGCGAGACCTTTACCCAGTGCCAGGCACTAAGCGTGTTAACATGTGGAAGCCATCACACCCTTGAAATGACATGAGGTGGGTGCTATTGTCAATGTCTTTTTTCTTTTGTAATTGTACATATTTATAGGTGGCAGTGCCCTTTCATCGACAAGGAAACAGAGCCCCAGAGAGGTTAAGTGACGTGTGAGAGATAAAAACAACTGCCTTTTGAAACCAGGTGCCTTGGCTCCACAGGTACTGCATGATTTTGCTTCTAAAATACAAGAGAGCAACACAGAGAGAGGAAAATGTTCCTCCACTGAGCCCCCGAGGAGCAGGAGGAGTGGAAGGCAAGATTAGAGGCCCTGCTCTCCCCGCCGGCCGCCTGGGCCCACCCGAAGGCCCTGGGGACTCACATGACGAAGACAGGGACCTCCAAGAGCTGCCTCCAGCCTCCTCCAGGCCCAACTCCATGCCCCAGCGGGCCCCAAGCCAGCCCTGGCCCCAGTCCACAACCACAGAGGGCGGGAAGGTGGGCTCGGAGGCCCTGCGGGTCAGGCCTGGCCAGGGACCCGGCCTGGTGACAAGTGGCTCAGAATAGCGGCGGCCCCACTCTAGGGGGCTGGTGGGCACCAGGTGCCAATAGCTGCGGGGACAGAAGAGCGAGGACCCCCATGACCCCTGCCCTGGCAGTACCTGCATCCTCCCGGCCAGGGAAGAGAGGCACCTACCTGCACCTGTCTCCACGGAAGCAGAAGCCACGCTGGAAGTACCTGCAGACCCTGGGCGCCTCTCTGTCAGGCGCAGAGTGACCGCTTGGTCCCCAGTGATGGGCCCTGAGGACCATGTTCCTAAGAGATGGGCTGAGTCAGGCCCAGCCTGTTCCAAGTCTGACTTTGCTTTTTTGGGGGAGGGGGAGGTTGCTGGGGATTCAGCCCAGAGCGTTTGTACTGAGCCACATCCCCAGCTCTTTTTAAGTTTTTTATTTGGAGACAGGGTGTCGCTAAATTCCCCAGGCTGGCCTCAAACTTACCGTCCTCCTGCCTCAGCCTCCCAGAGTGCTGGTATCACAGGAGTGACAGCCCTGCATGGTCAGAGGGCCCCCCAGAAAGCGCAGAGCCAGTTCTGCCTCCTCTGGTGAGGTTGGACAAATTGTTTAACCTTCCTGTGCCTTGGCTTCCTTGCTAGGAAAAACAGTACCTATGCCATGGGCAGTGTTCAGCTGAAGCAGACCAGTGCGTAAGGCAGCCACAGTAGAGCCCACAGTAAGTGCACACTGTACGTACGCTGCATTGCTGCTCATCAGCACCATCGTCGCCGTCACCACCTACCCACAGGCTTCCGAGGGTCAGGGTGGGAGGCGACCAGTGAGAAGGACTGGACGTGGCGGCCCACACCTGTAACCCCGGCACTCAGGGAAGCTGAGGCAGGAGGACTGCGAATTCCACCCCACCCTAGGCAACTTAGTGACTTAGGGAGACCCTGTCTCAGAATAAACATTTTTAAAAAGGGTCAGGGATGTAGTTCAGTGTGAAGCCCGTCAGGCCTGGCCTAAACAAACGGGCTGCTTTTGGCAAACAGCAGCTTCTCAGTAAATAGGGCCAATGGACTCAAAATGAAGTATACAGCCCCTGGCGCTGAGAAATCCAGCGATTGTCTACACACCTGAGCAGAACGTCCTCGGGCGCCCAAGCCATAAACATCTTTTCCCAGATTCCTCTGCCCCTTCAATACCTATACAAGCCTAATTCCTTTCCCGTTAATTGGTAATCTCTCTCTCTCCCGGTGTTAGCCCATCCTCGCATGGATGGAATCGTTCCCAGCCAGCTGCCACTCTCTCTCCCCCAGTGTCAGCCCATCCACACACAGACATGATAGACTCGGCTTTTCCCAGCCGGCTGCCAGAATCTCCTGATTTTAGTCCCTGTTCGTTGGAATAAACTTTCCTTTCAAAAGCCTATTTTTGACAAGTGGATTCCTTAGAACAAAGGCCCTGAGTTCCATCCCCAGTACTGTTCAAACAAACAAACAAACAACAGAGGGGCAGGAGGCTAAGTTGGGTCAACATTAGTCAAGAATCTAGTATGAAGCACCCAGCCTGGGCCAGGGGCCAGGGCCAGGCTCATGTTAGAGGAACTCTGCACCTGTCACGCCCTGCCTTGCCTCCGAGTGTGGTACCTGTGGAGTGGCCACACGAGCAGGGACAAAGGTTGGATTCTCATCCCTTGCGCACACAGACTGGCCTGGTCGGGTCATCTCAGCCAGCCCCAGCGTGCCCAGGCCAGGCACTGGAGAGGGCAGGCAGAGGGGACAGTGTGGTCCTGGGTCCAGGAGCTCGCAAGAGGCAGGGAGCCAAGCACCGAGGAACCAGGGTCAGACTTGGGCAGGGTGGCAAGGACTAACAGTGGGCACCACACCTCAGGGCTGTCCTGAGCACTATGAAACCCAAAGAAATAATACTTAGGGGCACTTTGGGGGCGGTGCTTTGGATTGTACCCAGCGCCTTGGCACTGAGCTGTAGTCCTAGCCTTTTTTTTTTTTCTGAGACAGAGACTCGTTAAGTTGCTGAATTGGCCAGGCTGGGCTTCACATGGCGATCCTCCTACCTCAGCCTCCCAGAGTCTCCTCATTGTTCTTGGATTCTTACATCTTGTTTATGGGGGATGTACTGAACTCTCTGCGAGTCATTTGTTACATTTGTTTCTTCCGAGGTGCGGTTTGCTAGCGCTGATCAGACCCAAAGCTCAGCTTCTTCTCAAAGTCTCATTTTTCTACCTCTCCTGTATAATAAGTTAGTTCGCTTTGTGCTGCTGTGGCTCGCAGGAGACTAGGACTCACTGCAGAGGTTCTAGTAACGTCCCCTTTCCCTGCTCCTTGCATTTGGCACCCAACTTGGATGTGAATCGGATCCAGGGGTGAACTCGCCTGTGAGACAAACTCAGTAAAAGAAACAGCACACGGGTCTCCCAGGACGATTTCCGGACTCAGATGAGAGACACTGGTGGTAAGTGTGTCCAGCTGGGGGTAATTTTCTATCTTTGCTGAGTTACAACTATGGGTCAGTCTCTGTCATTGGAGCAGCTTAACTTTGCCAAATTACTTAAGTCGCTGTTAAAGCAAGCTGTGTACCCAGTACCTAAGGATGCTGTGATAGATTTGTTAAAAGACATACAAATGTACGGCCCACCTTTTCCCCAGGAAGGGACAACTAACTTAATAGCATGGGAACGTGTAGGTACCGTTCTCCGTGAGGCCTGGCAATGGGGTGATCGTCTCTCCCCCCAAACGCTCCCCACTTGGCCCTCAGTCCGCTCTGCTCTCAGATTCTCTCAGTCAGTTCAGGAGACCTCGGCTCCCCCTCCCCACACGCGCCCTTCTGTCCAGGCTTCCCCTTGTTCGGCTTCTCCGGTTTGCTTTCATCTCACTGCGGCTTCTGCTCCACCGCCACAGCGTGCTGAGGAAGACCCTAACTCTCTAGCCCCTCAGCCATCTTGTAGAGGTCCAGCTGCCCCTCTTGTGAAGCCCACTTCTGGGGCCGCTCTGTATCACTGTACCCTGCAAAAGGCTGTGACATCAGGCAAGGCAGTGGGACACCCTTTGTGCTGTCCTGTCTCAATCTTGCCTGATCCTGACAGCTCAGAGGTGGACATGTATGTTCACGCCTCATTTGATTTTAACATCCTAAAGGACCTCAGGCAGAGCGTGCTAACTAATGGCATCCAAAGCCCCATACAGTGGGTTTGTTGGACAGTGTACTTCACACTTATTCTCTGGTTCCACGTGACGTTTTTCACCTTGTGAAAACGTGCCTGTCCCCAGCTCAGTATCTCCACTTTGAGGTGGAACTGCATTTTTTAATCAGGGAACAGGCTCATAAAAATGCTCAGGGAGATGCTCAGTCGAGAGAAGTTACTATCGACATGTTATTGGGCATGGGTGACTTTTACGATTTAAGCAGGCAGGCCTGTTGCCCAGAATTACTCTTCTACCAGCTCGAGGACCTCCTGCGGAGGGCTTGGGCTTCTTTGCCAGTTGAGGGTGCGCAGACAAAATCTTTTACTCAAATCGTGCAAGGGCCGGTGGAAACTTACACAGAATTTGTAGCGAGATTACAACAAACTATTAGGAGATAGATTTCTAATTCCCAGGCAGCAGACATCCTGATCTTACAGCTAGCCTATGAAAATGCTAATATGGATTGCAAACAGGCAATAAATCCTGTTCAGGCCTCTAAAGATCTTGGAGAAGTGCAAGGACCCAAGTTCGATCCCCGGTACCAAAAAAAAAAAAAAAAAGGTCTTGGAGTGTATATTAAGGCCTGCCAGAACATTGGGTCTCCTTTATACAATTCGGCTCTGATGGCTCAAGTCATCTCCCAACATTTACGTGGTACACACAGCGATTTAAAATGTTTTAATTGTGGAGAAATGGGGCATCTCAGAAAAAACTGTAAAATAAAAGTGGCTTTACAAGCTGACCCAGAGCCTCTAGGTCAGGCATCCAGAGAAAATAAGTTACCGCCTGGCCTCTGCCCTCACTGTCGAAAAGGCACTCACTGGGCTAAAGCCTACCACTCCAAATATGATAAGGATGGCACACTGCTGCCAGGAAAATGGAAATTGGGCCCAGGAAGCTATAGGAGATCAGGGCCAGGGGGCTCCCGTCCCCCTGAGTCAGTGGTACCCAGTTCAGACCTGTGCGCAAGTACAAAATCAGACGGCATGGGTGTCTGGAGGGACATTTCTTCCCTCTTCAGGGGAGCACTCGGGAACTCAGGAATAGATCTTCCTGCAGCTCACAGAGTTCACCTGCTGGGAGGTGAGACTCCGGAATCTGTCCCCACAGGAATTCATGGGCCCCCACCCCCCGGAACCATTGGTTTGATACTTGGAAAATTCTCTCTAACTTTGAAAGGCATTACTAGGCCAGGGATTTAGTTCAGTGGTTCTGCTGCTTGCCTTGAAAGCACAAGGACCCGAGTTCAATCCCCGGTACCAAAAAAAAAAAAAGAAAAAGAAAGGCATTACTGTTATTCCAGCCATTGTTGATTCTGATTGTACCTCTGAATTGTGTGTTCCTGTTGGCTCCACAGGACTTTGGGTAATAGAACAAGGAGATTATATTGCACAGTTGTTGCTTTTGCCTAAACCAAAATTAAGTAATGTTAGCTTTAAAAATTCCTGAGAGGATCCTCGGCCAGAAATTCATTTCACCCAAGAGATTTCCAAAAACTGCCCCATGTGCAAAATTAAATTGAATGGCAAATTCTTTACAGGATTGATAGACACAGGCACGGACGTGTCCGTGATTGGCAGATCTTTTTGGCCATCATCTTGGGGGGAAAAACCAACTCAAACATCTCTGAAGGCCTTGGCGCCCCCCCCCACCACCAAGTTTTGCAAAGCTCCATTCCCCTGCCTCGTGAAGGGCCTGATGGTCAATTGAGACATATTTGTCCTTACATAGCTCCCATACCTGTAAATTTATGGGGCAGAGATTTATTGGAAGAATGGAGTGTCGTACGTAGTGACTGCTTTGTCCCCTGAAACCTCACTAGGTCAACACATGATGTCTAAAATGGGATATCAGGGTGGAATGCAGCCTATAGAACAGCAACAGAAAAATAATCACCTTGGAACTGGATAGGAAAAAAAATTTTTAGTTGGGGCTATTGAAGAAGTTTCTCTGCCCAAGGCAGCTTTGCCTTTACAATGGAAATTACAATTAATAGAACAAAGAATCCATACCTGGCAGGTTTTTCTTATCAACTCTAACTATGCAGTTCATTTGTTTGTGCTTAACACCTCCCATTCACCTCAGGTTTGATAGGACAATGGTATGAAAAACAGGT